GCTCGTATAATAGACCAATTTGATCTCTTAGGGCTGTAGCTGCCATATCACTAAAGGTAGTTGGCGCTCCCGTTAGGCCAAATGGCATTCTGCAATAGCAGTCGTATCCATGTCCTTCTGTGTAAAATGCCAGATAGGGCTGAGTGTCTTCATCCACTGGTATGGCGTAGAACCTGGCTGCAAAGTCGATGATGCTGATCCATTGGTGTCCCGAAAGTCATTGCTGTTTGGCCTGTATGTCGCCCTGGGGTACCGGTGGGATTTGGCTGGCTTTGTTGATCTCTGCGAAATTCTGACAAATACGCCACTTAGGGCCGGTCGGAACGGCGTTAACGGTGGCCGTTATGGGTGGCCGTGGTGGTAAGTCGTCTCTCGTTGGGAATCCATGCTGTGCACATTGGTCGTTGACCCTGTGCCAGAGTTCTTCGATCGGGACGCTGTCTGCACTGTGAGCCTTTTGTGCTAACACAGTGGGTGCTGACGCCTTGACATCTTCAGGAGGGATTCGTCGAATGATGCCTGCAGACTCCATCTCATTGAGCCTTGCGTACAGGTATTCACATTGAGGCAGGGTTAGCGGCCGTTGGTTGACTTTTGTTGAGAACGCAGTATCTGGTGGAAACGTGAGTTTGAAGGACTTGAAATCGACTGGGAATACTTCCTTAACTGTGAGTGCAAATGTGTCTGCGTTCTTCGCTATGAATTCACGAACTTTCCCTCGTTGTTCCTCCGTTAAATCCTTGCCTATCTTCACCAACTTCAATATCTCCTTCACTCGTATCGGGTTGAACGGGTCGGTGTGCCTCGTATATATCCCGCAACTATTCTCATTAGGGATTGGGAAGTCCGGTACTTCTCCAATGTTGTCGCCCGCTGTTGCTGATTCGGTGAACCAAACTGGCGTGCATGGGGACTCGGGGTAGTCGCTCGTTGTGGATGCGAATTCTAAGGCTGGCCTGTGGTCTGCCATAACGACGTGTGCTCCCGCCTGAGAGAGTTTGGTTGCAAGGTCCGTGATGGTCGTGTGACTTGAGTCATTGGTGTAGGAGAAGATGTGGTGTTCCCTGGCATGAACTGCCGGTTGTGGGAGACTTGGGTGCTGGGCGTCTGGTGGGATGGTAACTACCATAACGTGGGTGTCGGTAGGTTGGGAGGGAAATGGGTCCTGTTCGAGTTCATTTGAAACTGTGGCTTTGTAACTAACCAGTCGTTTTGAACGAGCCGCGGGTGTTCCGAAGAGGTTTGTGATGATGGTAGGTTCATGTTTGAGAGTGTTGGTGCTAGGGATAGTGATGGTGTCGTTGGAGTAGTCATGTATTGCCTGTAGTTGGCTCAATAACAGTTTGCCTATGAGAACTTTCCATGAGCCCCCACTTGGAAAAACTTCGAACATTGTTGTAGTTGCCGCATCACGCCACTTGATTTTCCCATTCCAGACGCCTGCGGAAGGTACTAGGGAGCCATCTGCCATGCGAAGTATACGCTTGGAAGGAGATAGGCTACCCATCCGCTTCGACGCTGTGTGATATGCTTCAGCGTCGATTGCATTGATCATGGCCCCGTCGTCAACGTGTGCGTGAAAGTTGGATGAATCACCACCTTCTCCATACAGATTTATTTGCGTTATGAACGGTTGGCCTTCTGCCTGCACCATTCTTGACTCGACCGAATACAAGTCAATGGGTTCGATTGCATCAGAAGGCATGACATGTACGACGGAATCAGAGGTGGGGTTCGTGGAGAGTGAAACTACATCATCGAGAGATTGGACTAAATCATTGGGAGCGGAGTCAGCGACATAACTAGGTGGTTCTAACAAAATGAAAGTATCAGACAGTGTGAAATCTAACGAAAGGGGAGATGGGGAAGAAGAAGGAAACTTAATAGACAATAGTTCTTGGTTCTCTCTGAAGACAGGATTGCTCGTGCTGCTGTCGCCCTCTGCGGACGGTGCAGGTGAGGATACTGTGGAGACGACTTCCGAGTCTAGTGGCGAAGAATCTGCAGTTGACATGCGTGAAATGAACCCTGAGGAGATATCGGGTGAATAGATTTGCTGGTGTTCTTCAAGGTGGGCTGAGGTGGGCGAGACTGGTATCATTACGTCAACGACTTCCTCAGTTGGGACTACAGTGTTGCCCTTCATTGCTGTAGTCCCATCCCATTTCCCTGGAACTCATACTGCTGCTCCGCGTATATGTTCGGGTACGTGGCATAGGGACCCATTGGGTCGTAGTAAGTAGTCGGCGCTGTGGCTACGTACTGGATTGCAGCAGATGGAGTCATCATGGCGCTTTGCGACCACATGGTACGTCCCACCATGCTTGATACGATCTCTCTCCACTTCGTCTCCTGTGGTACTGTTGGAGGGTTGGTGCAGCTACTGGCTTGATGGGACGGCATGGTCACCATTCTGCAGGTGAAGCACTCGCGCGATCCCAGCATCGCTGATCCTGGTTTCAACGGGTAAGGTCTTCCCATGTTGGGCATGGCGTCCGCGCCGTTCTTGTCATGCCAGTCTTTGATCTGCTGGTTGTAGGCAGCACGACCTGCTTCTGTATCTGGGTGATGGGCGAGATTGGAAAATTGGGTCGCTAGGCGAATGCGATCTGTGGTGCTTGCACGAGAAGGGGTTTGGGGAGGCTGCTGGTAGCGGTAGAACAGGTTGGTGCTGGGCACGGTGCCTGCTCCAGCAAACGGGTTTGGTCCAGGCGTGACCGGTGGCTGCTGGTAGCTGGGTGCTGTTGGTTGCGGCTGGAACATTGGGATCTGGTACTGTTGTACTGGAACGAAGTTTGCGTTGGACTGTCCAACGGTTTGCTGAGTTGGCTGGCCTTGTGCTTGTGCTGCTAGGGCGGGTGCCATGCTGCCTACTTGTCTTGGGTAAGGTCTGTACGTTGGGGGATTGGTTGTGTACGGTCTCGCTTGCGGATTCTGCTGCTGGGACTGCAGTTTGGCTTTCAACTGGGCGATGTCGTCTCTCATGGTGCGTTCCTCGGTTGCTCGTAGTCTCGCTCTGTTGAGGAGGTTAATAGAGACGCTGTTAACGCCTGCGAGGAACGCGGCCCAGCTCGTGTATGAGTCCGCGAGTTGGTCACGCAAGATATCGGGCACTCCGTCAAGCACCACGTCCAAGTACTGGCAATTGCTATCCCCAAAACTCTGCGCCAACCTCTGCACCTGCCTTGCCCATCTCACATGGCCCCATTCCTGTCCTTTCTCGTCATCTAGCATGGACCCAATGTCCTCTTCCTTCAAGACAATGGCCTTGAGCCATTCTTTCTTCTGTCCCGCTGTTAATTGCAATGGTAAGTTGGGTGGCCAACGGGTGATGAATGCTGCCTCTAAATCAGCCCATGTTGCAGTCTGGGCAGTTGTCAATGTGGCGAACCAAGTCTCGGCCAAGCTTCCTGGGGCGCATTGCCGACGGAACCTGTCGACTTTTTGCGCGTCGGTCCATGTTGCAGGTCAGGTTGAGGTCGAGCTGTCGTAACCATTCATTAGGCTCTTCTCCTCCTGCGTAATCGCCTTGGAGTAACGGTAAGACTGGTGGTGAGATAATCGATGACATGGTTATAACTGGATGAACTTGCGTGGGGGGTTGTGCTTTTGACGACTGTTGGTTGGCCTGATGCTTTTGTCGAATGTGACGAAGGTTGGGTGCGAATCCGGCTGGTGGTTGTGGTGGGGGAGAGGCAATATGTACCTTTACTGAGGAGTCGGAGGCTCGTCTGCGGGGGCTTAACGAGAATGCTGGCTGTTCAAACGAGATGTTGCGAAGCTTCGCAATGTCCTCGATCTTGAGGGCCGTGATGACTGCGTGCGGTGCGAATATCTAAAAGGAGTATATGAGAGAGGCTGCGAACTGTTAAGATCTATCAAAAGAAAAAGGAAAATGAGTAGACGAGAGAGGCTGAGAATTCTAAGGTGTGCTGAAAACGAGTAAACGAGAGAGGCTGGGCAATTTGTAGTATGGTAAAAGAAAAGTAAACTAGAAGGTTGGATAGTTTATAGTGCGTTGGAAAGAAGTAGACGAGAAAAGTTAGAAGGTACTTCTAGAACAGGAACGGAACTGGGATGTACGGATCACGACGAATGCAGAGAGAAGAGAAGACCAAGAAAAAAAAAAGAACCAAGGAATCTGGGTGAGAAAACAAAGTCCATCGGGCTGGCTTGTTCCGGCAAGGTAGGCTGTGGAGATGCTCGCTCTAGTCACCAGGTGAGTCGGTACTGACTGAAGCAGGGTGACTCTATGAATGATGCTTTGTAGTGGATGTGATGCTTCTGCTACAAGGCACTGGCGCTACCTCTAAGACTCTACCAGGACCTCTGACACCTCTAATGCCCCTGACACCTGCAACACCTCCTGCCTATGCACTCCTTGTTCAGCTCCTATGCAACCCCTACTGACACAATGGGATGACTAGCTTGAAATTACGAGATAGATGTCCAAGAATGCTGAGATTGTGAGGAAGCTTGAATGTCCAAGGGTATGCAAGTCAAACACGAGTGTTCGACGATTACATAAAATATTTGGATGACTCGAACCACATGAGAGCTGATGACTAGATTTGGAAATTTCTAGAAGGCCGTTTGCATAAGCGTCCGATATCATTATTGGCTAGAAATGCCTACAAGGATGCAAGTCAAAATTGTCAAACACCAGCGTTCGCCGGGATGACTAACTCGAAATTACGAGATAGTTGTCCAAAGTGAGGAAAGGATCTAACTTCTAACTTTTGCACCAAACAACTACTTGACAAACCATTACTATGTGATATCTTATACAACCCTGACCACTTCACCATGTGCGGACAGGATTGGTGGCAACAAAGTAGTGGTAGCAGGAGTGGTAGTGGCAGTAGCAGTAGCAGCAGCAGTAGTAGTAGTAGTAGTAGTAGTAGTAGTTACAGTAGTAGTGGTCATAGTAGTAGTAGCAGTAGTAGTTGTAGTACTAATAGTTATAACAGTAGTAGCAGCAGCAGGAGTCATAATGGTAATCAGGTTGCAAAAGAGCTGAACGATCGAAGGCATGTTGAAAGGTCTTCCCTTGAAATCAAGTCACCTGGGTCACTTTGATCGCCAGAACGGTAAACTCGCTGTGCCGTGGCCATGTCCTTGTAGAATTGACGAAGTATTGCTGTGGCGATGGAGACCGCTCTTTCTGTGCTCTCCGATGAGGCGATGATGTATCCGTGGTCGTTGTTCGAAGCGATGTACTTGTGGTGGTTGATCACCATCAAGCAGAGGCCGACAACTGCCCTGTGATATAATTCTTCGAAGCGCTTTAAAATCGTGAGATAAGAAAGCTCAATGGCTTACCGATGCTAGGTGATAGTCGCGGAAGAGCTATGGTCATTCTCTGGAATGTCTCGAGAGCACTCTCGTGAACCTGGTTTGTCAGGAAGTGCACTTTTTTAGCATTGATATAGCGGGATATTTCAGTTAAATGTAGAGATCCGTAATTGAAGAATTTTCCCCCAGTGACGAAAGATTTCTTAGGAGTGTATACAGCATGAACTTGGCCGGCGGGTTGAAAACTTGAAATTGTAAGCCAAAATATAGAAAGAACAGAAAATGATGACATACAGAAGGTCGCCCTCCAACAGTGTTATGACTTCGGCACGCCAAGTCAACTTTATCTCCTCCCAGTTTTTTGCGAAGTCAGCAAATAACATCTGCCCCTTTTGAAGAGCTGTGTGACTGAGTTTGTGTATGGGGCAGAAGACTACCCAGAACTTGATACCAATTTTGATACGGACAAACATTACAGCACCATCAGCATCGTGATGAGGGTAGGTCACGAACACTGCATGGTGAAGTAAGGCCCAGGACTTGGTGGTAAAGTTGTCTGGGTGAACTTTTCCGCTACGAACGGGACAATCTACCGTAGTCTGATTCCAACCATATATGAGGCCATGGTCTAGAAGACTAGCAAGCTCACGGGTAGGAAAAAATCACACAAGTAAATGCCAAACTCACTGTAATTCTTGCGGGAGGCCCATGTGGGAGAGTGGTAAATCAAGTATACATTGTATTTTGGATGGGTTGTCGATGTCATTTAGGAATTGCTGAATCGTCCCTGTCTTGTGGGGATGCGTAAAATCTCTGACTCGTTTTGTGACATCTGGCGGGAAGGCTAAGTAGTAAGTTAAACAAACTGACCAGACTGACCGTGGATAGTCACACGCATCAGTGGCGATATCCCGAAATTATTGTCTAGATATTCTGCGTCTAGTAGAGGGGCATCATTGATATTGCTACCATGAATTAAAACGGGTTTGTTGTGGCGAAGAGCCTCGCTGATAGCCTGCTGTAATAAGCCTCTGCTCATGCCATTGTGTTCGATATGAGCGACATTGTCTGAGGTAGGTTTTGATTCCAGAAACTCAGAAAGAAAGCGCACCATGGCGGCATCGTTGTCTTCACATATGTCTATTCCTCTACTCATGATGCAAGGAAGGACCGTCCTGCGGCCATCAGCCCAAGTGACGGATCCTGATTGTTGCAGTACCTGAATACCAAGGATGTCGGATATTAAATCGAGATCAGGAGGGGATAGGTGGCGTGTTGCGTCTGCGAGGTGCTGAGGAGGTGGATCGGTCATAACGACAGCATCTGCAGTCTGACGGGGTGGTGGGACGTTATGAAGCACAGGGTCGATGATATGATCGTTGAAAGGTATGGGATGGGAGACATGCTGAACACAGAGTGCCTCCAATGGTCTTTGTCGACGAAATCTGGGGGGTGCTGCGCCCTGATCAAGATTGTTCTTCAAAAGTTTTGCTCGTTGACATTGAGCTTGTTTGTTCGTGCGACCCTTTGCCCTGATCTTTTCTGCTTTCTCAGGATCCTGCATCTGCCGTGTGAGCCATCGTTTTTTCTGTTCAGCATGCTTTTCTTCGGGGGTGAGGCCTTGTAAATCGTAATATTTGAAGCGTGGCAGCATAATACTACAGCTGAGTAGGTTGATGATGGCGGTGAGAATCAATGGCTCAGGCAACTTATCATATTGGTTTGCTGTTATTTGTCAGTTAGTAAGATGCCAAAACAGCCGGGTGGCAGTGTACCAGTACTGACAGTCGTTATTAGTTCTATGTAGTCAATCTACATTGCATACGAGCATAGTAATACAATAAAGCTGTGAACTTGCTGAAGTCCAACAATGAAAATAAGTAAGGAATCTAGGACAAGCATCGTCAATCTCCATAAAAAATCAGAGGCAAGTGGTAATGAGAAAATCAATCATTTGCGATCTCCATGAACGATTGGAGGCAAGTGGTTAACTCATTCATATCGATCAAGTCCCCTGGGCCAAATATACCCTTATTCCCTGAAGTCTGATTGGGAGTACGATATGTTTTTTGCGCCGTCTTGAGGTTTATCCAGAAATGGTTGACAATAGCGGCTGCTGATAGCCGTTGCTCGGTTCGTGCTCTCCGATTCCAGTTTTCTCTTGTCTCCACCAGCAGCAACATATTGGCTAGCAAACCCCACGAGCGTACTGTAAAGTTGTCAGGGTGAACTTGATCACTGATAGGACAATTGTTGGTGGACTGATTCCACCCGTCGACGATGCCACTATCTAGGGAGCTAAAAAATAAGTTCCTGACTGATGATGCGAGAGAATGTGACGAAGCGCACCTCAGAAAAAGCGGGAGACCCCCTTGTGCGGGCGGAACATCAAGAATACACTGTATCTTGCTCTGGTCGCGTAAGATCGAGATATTTGAGTCTCTTAGTATCAGACATGGTATGTAAACTAGAAATATCCTTGTCAACACACAGCAGTCCGTGAAAATGATACGAAGCCTACGATTTTAGAGAATATCAAAGGGAGTTGGTTGGTTGGTTAAGTGATGTTCCGGTATGGAAAAGAAAGTTGGTTAGATGGAAATGAACCCCATTAAATGGGTTACATAAACAGACAATGTCCACCACTCAGTGTTCATTGTCAATATTTCAGCGTTGTGACTGTGGACGTGACCTTTACAATAGGATCGACGCGTCATATGAATAGGAGTTAATTGTCTTAATGCTTACCTTTAAGTTGTTCTTTATCGAAGGAAGTCGCAAAAGTCGCAAAAAAGTCACAGAAGTCTCAGAAGAGTCGCAGAATTAAGAAGGGTTGCAATGTAGACGGCATCTTTCTAGCTTTTGCACTGCAGCACTAAAATTGAAATTGAAATACCAATTTCTCTCTATTAAGAGGTGTAACTGTGATAGCCATTTTTTCGGGGGAAAGAAGCAATGGTTGCGGATATGGACATGGGCAATACAGAACTGATATTACAACTCATGGTTTAGGTTGATCATAAAATAGACATGTAGAAAACACACAGTAAGTACTTTAGCTTTAGTGTCTGTATAATGTCTGTATGTACAATGACACCCCGCACCCTGCTAAAATAGAACACCTGTGCTTCACCTGCCAAACGTCTCCCAAATCCACCAGTCTGACCATGTCAAAATTCTCCACTCTCATGTGACTATAGTGTTACAAAATGTTGTACAATGCATTGTCGTAAGCTATATAATATCGATGTGTCATAGTAATCCAACTAATTCAACGCATTCCTTCTCGACAGCCCCAACAAACTTCTTGGTCTGGTTCTTGTAATACTTCAAGTCTGCCTTCCACTTTCGAGACTGTGAGCAATGGGGCTTCTCCTTGACGTATCATTTTCAATCTCAACTGAAACATTTGTTCAGCCGAATGTGTCCAGTAGCCCATGTCCAAGCCAGATGAGGACCACAGCTGAGGGGTGGGCCACCATGACATTATAGACGTTTGTTCGCCTCTGTCTGTGCGTGAATGTGTAAGACAGTGATATCAAATTTATACAGAAAGTGCTCACCTGTTAGGACATGATAAACGCCACATAGTATGTCTATCTCCTGTTTACTCAGAGTATCGAAGAGATGATCGCAAGGTGCATCAGGAGACATATCTGAAAAAAACTGCACGTCCTTTGACGGCCCACTAGGTATGTCGCTTGCAAGTTCCTGCTTGCATATGCGCCAGAGTATGCCGCCTTGGGCAACAGCGACCCTTACATGGGGTAATTTTAGGAGGCGGTTTCGTCGGCATTCATAGTCCATGTATTCGACCTTGTCGGGTTGCCAGTTATGTGGGCGGAGGTTGGAGTCAAAGACTGTTCTGGGACGATCAACGATGGGGCGTGCAGGTGTTAAAGAGAACTTTGAACTGGATTCCGCGCTCGAAAAAGCAGAGGATCACATCCTCTAGAGATGGGCCCCACTGTTCTCTGATGCACTGGACCACAGCGAGAGCACTGTTGACAAAGAGATTCCATTTCCGAGCATATTTTTTGATGCGCAGAAATGCGAGATAACCGTCCAAGGTATTGTCTTTCACAGGCGTGAATGTGAAATACATGTTTGATACGACGAGCTCCCGAATATTTTGGTGATGTAGATCCCATACAAGAGATGGAGGGTTAATGTCGAGCACAAGGGATGATATGAAGTACCGAATGGCGAACTCGTTCTTTTTCCAATTAGGGGGAGATTGATTTCCATCAGGTATTTGCGAACCGTCTGCATGTCGATGATTTGGGCATCTGCAATCACAGTATAATCTGGGTCAGACTGGATGTCAGACTCATCAGGCTTTTGACTCGGATATGGTAAAGATTTGGCTAGCTTTATCGAAAGAAAAATATTGAAAATATGTATCACAATTACAAATGATATGTTAAAGGAATAGAAAGTCAGACTACGTTGATGGAATCTCCCACAGCTATAATATTGGCAGACCTATCATATTATGTTACAATCTACTATCACAGTGCTGTGTTATTGTCCAATGTATCTACCTATGTCTAGCTTTATATAGGCAGGCTCTCATGGTAGAAACTGCAATTGGCAACTACATGGTGCAGGATGATATTGTATTATCATATCCATCAAATATGCCTGGCTTTGTATAGGTAGCCTCTGATGGCGGAGGCCGCAATTGGCAACTATGTGGTGCAGAGTGATATTGTATTATCATATCTATCAAATATGTCTGGCTTTGTATAGGCAGCCTCTGATGGCGGAGGCTGCAATTGGCAACTATGTGGTGCAGGGTGATATTGTATTATCATATCTATCAAATATGCCTGGCTTTGTATAGGCAGCCTCTGATGGCGGAGGCTGCAATTGGCAACTATGTGGTGCAGGGTGATATTGTATTATCATATCTACCAAATATATCTGGCTTTGTATCGATAGCCCCTGATGGTGGGGGCTGCAATGAGAAAATATGTGCTATAGGATGATATTGTATTATCATATCCACCAAACTGCTATGGAGTGATATTGACTCATCGTGTTAATCAAACATATCTGACATTATATAGGCAACCTCTGGTGGCAGAAGCTGCAACTCACAACTGTGTGCTGCAGGGTAATATTGCCTTATCATGTTCACCAAATTGCTCATATTTTGATCAAGTCTCCAATCAATATCAATTATTCAGGGTGTAACATTGGATTGTCACAATACTAAATTTTGATGCTTCGTTATCTCAGTCATAGCCTTCAAGATAGGGGATCATCATGCAATATATTTTGTGCTGTATAAATCATGGATGGAGCTTTCATAAATTGTATTAGGGGTCAAAGGCTGTACAGATAGTGTATTATGAAAAAATAATTAAAGACAATGGACTAATTGAGGCCAGCACTGGCAGTGGCTTGTAGGGCAGCCCGTTTCTCCCGAATCTTCGACAGCGCACTGTTTTTGCTGACACCGCGCTGTGCAGATGAAGAATTAGGAAAAACCCGACTGGAAGGCGTTAACTTAGATATTAAGGCGAGGAAATCATTACGAACTGTGTCCACCATGTCATCAACTCGACTACTTCCTCACTTTCATCAGGATCTTCCAATAGGTCAAGGATACTATGATAGAAATTTTCTGAGTCCGTCACCATATCGGTACGGGAAAATACGGATGACGAGCTTAACGAAAACCGAACCTGTCAGGGAAGGAAAAATAGTAAGGAGGGATGATTTATTAAATTTCCTGCGCACCTGTGTGGCAATATAGGCCAGAGATCCTTTAGTCGCAGACCTCATACCGTGCAGGTAAGCATTACCGGAGCAGGTAGCTTTAGGCTCCTTATCTACCGAGCTCGGAGACATGAAGACGTGTTTGAAGCCCTACAAAAAAAATTACTTTGATAGAGAATGTACCGCCGATAGAGTGGACTTACAAATACTAGTATTTCGCTCCTCAGTAAACCCTTCCAGGGATCTTCAGGATCATATACACATCCGGCGTATAAAAACATGGGCCACTGGTCACCACAAACGGCGATTTCACCGCTCTGGAGACTCTGTTTGGTACTGAAGAGGGTGATGACGGTTAGTTAATGATTGGTGGTAATAGTAGTACTCACTCTGCATTCGACCAATCGAGGCCTGCGGGACAGAGCAAAGCACCTGTTACTTCATGATTAAACCCACGGTCAGACTTAATGTTTCGAGAAAGAGGTGGTATAACTGGCTGTCCCCTGGGAACAAGCCATTCGAGGACGGCGGATTTGAGGGTCTTGGTATCGTCACCTCGTGCACCAGATGCTCCTCTACCTAGCTGAAAGACGGTGAGCATAGTAATAGCATTCCAGTATTGAAGGCCCACCAATTCTCCTACCTGAATGATGTCCTCCTCCTCGCCATTCGTCAGGCAATCCAGAAGACCAGGGTAAGAATTAATAAGTTCCATAAACACTCTGTGTTCCCGTCGAACACTAACTGTCGTTATTAGTGCTGAGGAAATTTAATTATCGTAATGGTACTCACTCCACTGGGAAATCCTCTATGGGAGAATCCTGTAATTCTTCGAGTCGGAGGATACCGGAGGTCAGAAGAGCTGGATAATTGCACAATGCAAAGACCGTCCGACCGAAATGTCATCCATGGAGAACGAGGGGATTCGACGAGGTCCTGGTCAAAACTCCAAGTCAGGAAGGATTAGCATTCGCTGGGGCTAGAAGTTTCCTTATGCCTTTTTTCGCGGCCCCATACGAAGTGCTGAACCACCACGCTTGCGCGAAGGACCGCTGGGAGGATTATTCTCATCGCTACTCATACTAATTGACGGGGGCTCTAATGAATCAGTAATAAATAAGATGCTTTATATGTGGAAAGCCCAGCAGGCACATTATGAAAAACAGCCTCGTCAACTGAACACCATCGATGTCGTAAAAAAAAATGTGCCATCCGAGCGCCATAGATATCGTAACATATTACGCACCCGTGTGACCTTTGATGCACAGCTCAGGACCGGGGCCCCCTCTCGAATGCCCTGCACTGAGGATGCGTTCAAGTTGGACATGATGTCACGCTAAAGAATTTGACCTGTTCAAACTAAAATTCGGTATCGAAACTTGTGAACTTACTTCAGACTAAGTCGAGATATAGATATGACAGAGACAGCACTTGTAGCAATTCAGTAGCGATGGAATATTACAGAGAATAACTTAGAACTACTTACCAGTGTTTCCTGGAAGTTAAGGCAAGGGAGTCTTCAAGTGTGCGGATTCTATTATATTGTATTAGAATGATCAAAGATAGCGAACGATCTCACAATGACTCTAAGTCAGACTCGAAATCTGAGCGTATAGTAGTAGGCGGCGGCGTACACTGGTAGCTTCCGTACTAGCGTCCCCATCGAAACAAGTTCGATTATACTATCTACAAGCCCCTCGCCACCCATCCTAACAGTATCCAAACTGGCCCTCACCAACTCATTCCATAACCGTCTCATGATCGAATCGCCACGTGCTTCCGATACTAATCTCCTCCATACCAAGTCCGCAGGTGTCTCTAAGCGCCGCTGTCTCTGAAGGATCAAAGACAGTAAGGGAATTAGGAAGAACAAAACCGATAGAATGGCTATTCTGTTTGCGGTGAAATAGTGGTTGAAATAAGATCAAATGAGTGCTAGGGAGGTTGGGGGCTGTGCAGTCGCGAAATTGTGGTCAACTGGAGGAAGGCGGGGGATACGAACGGCACTGGCACTTGAACTTCCTCGGGGCATACTTTGGTTGTGGTGGAGGCGAGGGGATCTAGTTACTGTGACGCCTGAAACTGCAGAGATGCGGATTGTTGGCGGGTAAGTTTTGGACTAGGGGATGCTGGGACTGCGGTGCGGGTGGATGTGGTGGATAGAGAGGAGGAAAATACTGGGGATAGAGAACGGATTGGAGGTATCGGTATAGGGGAGGGAGGAGGCTCAGGTTTTGGCGTCTCCCGCTTTGTACTCTCTAGCACTTGAGCATGTTGAGCCTCAAGAGCCAAATGAAGTTCCTGGAAATATCATGTTCAGTACAACACAAGAATCATGAACTTACACTCACACATCTTTTGTCAGACGAGAGCTCATTCTTGTATGACAGAATTTCTTTGGCGTATTCCCACTCGCACAAACGAGGCAAAACATGCAAGCAGTAGAGTTCCAGAACTTTGTGACATGGTTCACCTGTGGAAGGTACGAAATCATATTGACCTCATTTCGACAACCCGTCTTCTGTGATCTCGCGACCAATATTTGAAGAATCTATCTTGATGCTGGATTCTATGAGTGGGATGACGACTTGGTGCGGAAGGAATGCGGAGCTAGGCTTTCGATATAGTGATGAAGTAAATAAAGCGAGATCGAGCATACAGATTGGAAATAAATGATTGGGGAGACAAGAGTAGGGACTCTCGGAGTGGCTGTGATAAATCAATGAGGTCTGGAGTAGAAGAGAAGATGGCGGTCTCGAGGGTGATGCGAAGGATGTCCCACTTTTCTCCGGTGGACATCTAGGGGATCAGGCGAGGGCGCGAGGGGAGGTGGGAGCAGCGTGAATGCAGCACTTAATAGCTGTGAACGTGATTGCGACTGTCTCGGTGAAGGAATGCTCTCGCTGCATGGTTGTACAGTGATTGTAGCATTGCCTCCGTCGTCGAGGAACTTTTGCTGGCAGTTCATGAAGTAGCTTGTCCAATGTTGAGACAGTCGCCAGTTGCCATCGTTGTCTTAGCAGTCGGCATGTATTGGCTGGTATGCCCGAAACTGGAACTAGTACATTCGCAAAGATTGCTCTGCCTAGACATTACCATATGTACATACGAGGCAGGAGGATGACACAGTACTTACATGAGCATAAATTGTCAAATGTACTTTCGGCCAGAATGCCTGAGCCCAGTCAGGCGGAAGAGTATGTGGGGCTGCGCTTCTGGGTGGAGAGTGATAGAAGAGAAAGATTGGAGGAGGCGGATGAGCATGAATGACATCTCGTTGTAAGCGAACTATGAGTTGAAGTCAGGGGATTTCGAAGTGAGGAATAGGAATAGGAGTATCACCTGTTGCCCAAGACAGATGCGGGGGCCGGCGTTGAAGGGGAGGAAGATAAAAGGTTTAGGCGTAAGATACTTGTGTAACCGTTCATCGAGGAAGCGGTTGGGATTGAACTCAATGGCTGGCAAAATGTTAGTGCATGCAAATTGATCATTCGAAACGGTAAGTGACGTGCGTACCATCAGGACCCCAAAGATCTTTTCTGCGATGCATTAGAAAAATGGAGTAGGAGATACTAAACCCATCATCTGCGTTACGTTGGAAATTCTGGGAGGAAAACGCTACTGTACCTTGTCTTTGGGGGGACGTATATTGGTTTATCCAAGTGGTTGGTTGCAGGTAGAGTGGATGCATTGACACTTGCGCTATCATGATGTGAGTATTTCGTAAGAATGTACTAGGATGTGGAGCGTACCGAACATTGAAAGGTCTGAAGAACGTAATTAGCTTGGTAAAAGATTCCTGGTTCAAATAGCTTACACAGGAGAAAAAACCCTCATCTACATAGTATAAACGTTCCCGGCGGATTAGTACGGTCTGATAAATGAAGATAAAGTGGAGCGCGCACATGGCATCGACACCATATTGGAAATCGCTCCGTGCTTATACTATGTAGATAGATGGTATATCTGCGGTGTCAACAATGTCAGGGTTAGGGTCTAGCATGTCCGATAAATAAATCAAGCTAAAGTAGAGCGTGCACATGGTGTCAACCAGTGACACCAATTGGAAATCGTTCCTGTTCTTACAATATGTATATGTATAGGATAGGATATTGCTTCCGAATCAGCCTTACTATTAGGTGGAATATTTTAAATATCTTGGGTATTACTGTTACTAGACACTACACAGTATATCACTACGTAGCTATGGTAAACTGTCTATGACATTGAGGTGAAGGTGGAAAGAGAGATATTTTCGAGTCAGGAACACATTGATATAGTGAATGGCATGCGAAGTTCAGACTCACCTGGAAACACCCGAATGCAAACCAGTGCCACTGCCCAACATTGTACTCGGGTGTTGCCAGCTGGGTCTGAACTTCGCATTAGTCATTCACTATATCAACTGTATCTCTCCCGAGATAAACTTCTTTTCGACTTCCACAGCACAATTCGGCCTACAATTGTGAATATAATAGATTAACGCCCCCCAGAATTTGACTGGCAGTGTGCCGCCATCATTGTCTTGTGTACTAAAGTGGATCACTGATTTGAATAGTACGTAGAATAAATTGCCAAGTGTACAATCACTGTTGCATATTCAATGAGTCTGGCAATTGATGTCCGACCACAATCCATTTTCAATTTGTAGTAAGTAGTCGACATTAGTCATTCACTATAAATATTGATCATGAACATTGTCACAGGCTTTCTTTCCACCTTGATCATTACCATATGATACTGACACTCAAAATAGATAGCTTAAATTTGAGTAGTACCGTAGACTTTGCCAGTGGGCACCAATACCATTAGTAGGATCATATTATGTTTTGGAATCGGTATTGAAAATTAACCAGATAGACTAAGACAGGCCTAAAGTTCCGATTGAAGTTGAATGTCTCGGAAACGACGTGCGGTACCAAGTGCCAGTAACAATGAATGAGCTCCAAAGAGCGTCAGAAGTGATAGAGGTGAGCCGTGACTTATACGATACCATTAATATTGTTACTTATCACTTACGCAGGGAGTCTGGCAACGACTGCCAGTGTAAGTAAGCTGAATTTAGTTCTGCCTTAGTATTCTAATAATAACCGTAGTCAAAAAATCCATACATCGACACTGAAGCAGAGGAAGACCATAGCGATGAGGACGCGGATGCAAATGTTCTTGCCGTTGAGGGTGAGGGTGACGGCGACCTATCTGCGCAGTTGGCGAACAATATGTCTTTGGGTCGATGACCCACTGTCAGGGTGAGTGAAACATACAGTTCTAATGATGCATTCTGAATAACAGTTGGAGCCAAAGAATCCTTACATCGACGCTGAAGCAGAAGAAGGTTCTAATGATGAGGATGGGGATGAGTATGATTCCCTTCGCGATACCGAGGAAGAGGGTGATAGTGGCCCCTCCACTGCGGCCGCCGAATGTTACCTGCTTGCTGGGACCGGCCGCCAAACATACTTTAGCTGCAGCTATTAATGATATCATGGACAAGTACACATTGAACGCGTCCAGTTTATCAAACGGACGGCTCCGTCAGACAGCTGCCTGGTCCCCCGAGACGATTCAAAGCAGGATGTATCTGTTGCTTGTTTACAGCATGTCCTTATTTTCACTGCCATTGCATGTCACTCATTGCATTTCAGGAACTTCTACCAGTTACATCGCTGAACACCTTCGGAGAAAAGGGTTCCCCGTTACTGTGTTGCTTTGGGCACAAGGCCAACTTTATGTGGTTTCGGACAGTCCCAGGACCATCTCATTGTCCCTTCCAATCTCGCTTCATCCCTCAGTAAAAGAGTATCTTTACATTTCGGATGAAGAACATGAAGCAGTCAAACGTGCGCGATTGACCTTACCCAGTCCTGCGTGGGTGAAAATTAAGACAAGCACGCGCCACAAATACAACGGCGCCATAGGTTATGTTTTCGAGGAGTCTGAGGAAAACGACAATTTCGTGAAGGTATTAATCTCTCCATGGGACTTCCCCTATCCCATGCCACAGGGGTCTGTAGCGCTATTCGACCTAGCCCGCCTTCCGACTGGCAAGTTCACCACCAATATCATTCGTCATGGGAAAGTTGTCGGATGGACGTACAGAGGAGAGCAATATTACATGGGGCTGCTACTGAAAACATTTCACCGCTATCTTCTAGAGCTCGTTGTCGTTCCTCACCCTGATGACATTCGGTTGCATCTCCAATCCGGATGGGATACTCACTTCGTCAAGAACACTGAGCTTGCGTTTTCCATGCAGTTTTTGCGCGAAGGCGATGCAGCCAGGGTTCTCACAGGAGAGGTTCATTCAGAGATCGGTGAAGTTATCTCAATGGACCATGTGTTTGGTTCCGTGCGGTTGAAAATCGACACCAACGGATTACAGAGAGAAATAGACCTTCGAGTCCGGGACGTAGAGCGCGTGTTTTGGATCGGTGATGCAGTTAGAGTTGTAGCGGGTTCATACTTGGGGTTGGAAGGGCATATCATTGGAATGTCTGATGAGATATTTGATGTTTGTCAAGAAGATACAAAGGAAGAGGTATGTAGTAGAAAATCCTACTTATGTAAGTATCTAACACAGCCCGTAGATTCAAGTATCGAAGTACTACCTGGATCGTCATCCTTTGCGACACACGCTGCAAGCACAGCTGGCACTGCCACTACTTCAAGTTGTGGAGCCTCCCCCCAAACAGGACTCTATTGAAGTTGGGGATTACGTACAAGTATTTGAAGGAGAATATCTAGGGAAGTCGGGTATCGTGGAATGGTTTCCTGCAGGAAGTACCACTCTATTCTTGCGGGATGCAGACCTTGACATGAATGCGGACGTCATGGAAGGACCGCTGCCAGTTCAAGTTCCCGCGGCAATGGTTCAGCGGGCACGCCTCGCCCCTATAATTAAATACACCAAGGACAGGGGTTATGATGTAAAGCCTGGAGACTTCGTGAGCGTCGTCCGTGGACCCGAGTTTGGGACAACAGGCTTTGTGCACAGCGTCAACTTTCCAATGGCTCGCATGAAAATACAGTCTTCCAGTGATTACTCACTCGTAAGTCCAACGATTCCACTCGATTGGGGCATTTCTAATTCGTCACAGATCGAAGTTCCCATCAGATTTGCAATGATGCTGCGCAAAACAAGCATTGATGAGTTTAAGAGTGTAATCGGGAGGGAAGTATTCATTATCGGAGGTGATCTCAAGGGCTACCGAGCCACTCTATACAGCGTTGCGAGCAACACCTGCACTGTCGCTGTTCATGGACAAAGGTGCGTCACACTCAAACGCCATGATGTTGCTACCAGGTGAGCGATGTGCATGTTTTGCGGTGAACTAATCGTTCATCAATGTTTAGTTATGCAATGAGATTGAATGGTGCAATAATCGAAGGGTGCGACTTAATATCTTTCTGCGAAATGCGGAAAAAATCGTTCTTGACGCCCCAACGAAGTGTCACCCCCCCACCCCAAGCATCAGTTCCATCCAGCTCCAACTTGAATACAGATCAGGGACCTTCGTCTTCGTCTTCTTCCGGCGTCTGGGCCCCTTGGTCGACCAGCGCTGAGGGTAACAATACAGCGCTTGACCATTCATCGGGCGTCAATGCTTCATCGACATTCGACCCCTGGACTGCCAATAATCCCAATGACATCTGTGATCGTATTGAGGCTGAAGCGGAGACACATGCAGACCCGGGTGAGTCCCCAACGAGGGCATCACAACATCGAGCTTATTGAATTTAGGTCCGCTACCATGGTTGATGAATAAAGAATTTTCTTCAACACTATCGAAATATCACGTGTTACTGAAAGTGTCGGCGAGCTTCATGGGAGGCCGCTTAATCAACCGATTCGTGTCGACGGCATGCCCTGACCCGTTCTGCGGTGTGAATGGTCCCGCACCCGAGGGGTCCATTGCAGCATACTGCACATCCAACAGTGCAGGAGCCGCCCTAAAACACTATCACATTCCTGCCAAGGATCTTAGCCCAGCGCCTCCACGCCGGAAGAACCAACATTGCCTTGTTCTGAACGGGCAGTATCGTGGGCTCATTTTTCCTGTGGCGAAGTGCAACATCAAATCACAGACTGTCGACCTGATCCTTATGGGTGGGACTGCCTTAACATTCACATTGCGCTTTGACGAAGTGTGTCTTGTTGAACTTACACAAAACGGATAGATTTAGTACTATAACTATAGTACTATACTACCTTTTTGAGATACATCTGCAGTGCTGCCTTAGTCCATACTCATACCATGTACACTTACCATTTTGAGTTCGAAAGTTGGTACTGGGCATTACCGAACAGCATGTCGAGCATGCTGAAGTATTTATATTTCGCATAGTACACTACCAACTCCCTGCAAACATCCATGTAGCTACAGCGATAAATATATATGATACAAGTGACGATCATTGGGTTTTATGATGTATTAGATCCAAAAGTAAGAATGGTGACCGTTAAGTCAAGGCTGTCAGGGAGAGCCATGTACTAGCCATTGTATTTCCAGTAATTTTTATTGTCATGTTGATATCTAGAAGTGACCCATCCACTTATACTCAGGCTATTCCGACTCGACATAGTCTTCAAAGGACTCATACCAGCACGTCAACTAAAGGTGAGATGTCCACTGCCTACTACTAGCATCTCTCTTAACTCACAACCTGGCTCGCCCTTTCGTGTATCAGTGTGGCATGCTCGGATATGAAGCACATCCGAGTCATCGGGTCCCGGGCCGTTCCCCGCTTGCCAATACATTTTAGTACTATCATGATGATGTCCATTTGAACTGGCTCAGGTTTACAACGCTGCAGAAAAATGAAGACACAGACGAATGCATTCGTGCAACCCCTGCTCACACTCAACCGTCTTTGAAGATATCCCTTCAGACATTGAATCTACTAGTGTCGCAAACACCATCATGATATATCCTGGACAGTAGCATGGATAATGTCTTGTTTCTCATGTCAAGCAACTAGTATTTCAGCAGGTTTCCATACAACCTGTCCGAGCGGTCACCGTTGGTGGGTATCATCCATTCTCCATCGAATCTAAGCCTACTGCAATATCACTTTTCATGCAGTCAACTCATGAGATCTACGTGTACATCGGATGCAGCGGAATCCCTGCCTCCCACGACTCAAATCCGCTACTAGTACTAGAGAGTGTAAGCCTGGTGCTTACGACGTCACGAATCACGTGCTACTTTCCCCATATATATATAAAAAAAAAGTGAAAGCCTGTCGCGGTGGCGACAGAAAACACTAGAACGATTCGGACAAGAAATAACAAGACAAAACCGTCTATTTGATAATGTGGTACAAGTGAGCAATATGGTGGTTTAAGGGAGACCCGAGTCTGAGAACCATAGGACGAAGCGTTGTGATATATATATATGGGGAAAGTAGCACGTGATTCGTGACGTCGTAAGCACCAGGCTTACACTCTCTCATCCTCCGAAGAACCAAGTGTCTCTCTGAACTCTTCTAGAGCGTCCGAACCTTCTACTTCGCTGCCGGCCAGCCAGACGTCCGCTTCTGGACCGTAACCGCGCCAACGAACCAGATACTGGAACCCGCGTCCTCTTGGCCGTTGATCCAGTATGTGCTCTATCTCCCATTCTTCGGCGCCCGTTGTTGTAACGATATGTCCGGGTCGTTGGACCTCGCGGGATGGGTATAGGTCCGCATCGTTTGCCACGTGTCGCTTGAGTTCGGAGGCATGGAAGGTTGGGTGTATGTTGGTGTGAGCAGGTAGGTCGAGGGTGTATGTTGAAGATTCGGGATGTGCTGATATGACCTTGTAGGGGCCGTCGAACTGAGGCATGAACTTGCCTACTCGTCGGTTGTTCCCGTTCAAGTATTCACGTCGTCGATGTGCTGTGGAGAGGTACACGAGGTCGTCGACTGCGAAGCTAGGGTCTTGGGTCTTGTGTGTGTTTGCTGAAGCCGCTTGATTGACTTTTGTAGCTGTTAACGCGTCGTGAGCATCGGCGATGTCGGTTTTAAGGGACATGATGGCTTCTAGTGCGTTCTTGACATCTGTAGGGAATACTTGTCGCACGTCGGGTACTCCCTCCGGTGTTAGTGGTGGAAGTATCCGTGGCGTGCGACCTAGATGTAGATGAAAGTGAGTATACCCAGTGGAAGCATTTAGTGTGGACATCATGTTGAATCTAACTCACGGCAGGGCCTTCACCCATCCTGTCTGGTGTCTGTCCACGAAGTAACGAAGGGCCTGGTTTACCGTCTTGTTCGTTCGCTCGGAAGAGCCGTCTGTTTGTGGATGGTAGGCGGTGGACATCTTCAACCGGATCCCAGTGAGTTGATGTAGTGCCTTCCAGAATCGGCTTGTGAAGATCTTGTCTCGATCTGAAACAATACTTAGTGGTAATCCGTTTTCACAATACCAATTATCAAAGAACAGGTTCGCGATCTCGGGAGCGGTCATATTCATACGGCAAGGTATAAGTCAGATGTCTGCACCCAGTTGATCAGTCATTGACATGATCCCGTCGAAACCCTGTTCTGTCGGTAGAGGGCCGATGAAGTCGATGGCCACGGAGTCCCCTCTGTTGTCAGGTACTGGCAGAGGGTGTAGCGGCCTGGGTGTCTTCGTCGTTCTACTTTTGTTTCATGCGCATTTTGTGCAGGAAGGTATGTACCCCTCCTCGAGATCTCGCCGCATGTTTGGCCAATAGAATGATTGTCGTAGCGCGCCGTATGATTTGTCGAAACCGAAGTGCCCTAGGTCATCGTGAGCCAGTCTGAAAAAGGTCTCGCGTATGTGCGCGACGCGTGGTACAACTAGCCGATTGTTAAGGTACAGTAGTCCATTTCGGCGTTGTAGACCTGGTAGTGAGTCAGTTAATTGTGATAGCCTCACGCACCAAGGGTCCGCCTCGTATCCGGCCTTAATGTCGTTCAACAAGGTTGGGTCTGGGCTTATGGACAAAACGAGGGCCATTGGTGCTACGCTCTTCCTGATTTTGGCAGGCAGGTGCACAGTTTGCTCCGAGTAAGCCGGTATTTCGTCGTTATCTGCTGGTAGTCGGGACAACGCGTCCGCGACAGTGTTTTCCTCGCCCGGGATGTACTGAATTGAAAAATCGTATTGCGCGAAAAACTCCTGCCAACGTGCTTGTCGTCGCGATAGGTCCCGTTGAGTCATGAATCTTTCCAACGTTCTGTGGTCTGTGTACACGGTGAAAGGCGTTTACTAGTGCTACGACAGAGGAATTTCCGCCTTAGTTTCTGCCTTCTCAGTTTAATCTAAACAATCGTACTGGATGTTTAGGGTTAGTTGGTGCAACCTTGGTAGGTGGTTTGGTCGCCGACATATGGGAGCCACATGAGTTGAGCAATTTGATTTTTACTTGTTTGATCGCTACAGCTACCTTCACAGGCGTGGACGACCTATGGCGTCTTTCGCTCTATGAATAATCCGCTTGCTTCCATCTCAGCGAGAGCTTCTTCATTGAGCGCCTCTGCCTCTGCCATGATTTTCTCCTCCAGTACAGTAACCCTGGATTCTGCATCCCGACGCTCGCGGTCAAGCTCGGCGTACCGCTCCTGCAGCAGGCGCTCTCTTCGTGATAGAGTATCCACCTCCTCTTTCAGCGACTCTAATCTCCATGGTCCAGCTGCAGCCTCGTTGATGCTGAGTCGACCGAAGCTCTCGTAGTCCACTTTTGTTCGCACGAGCTCATTGAAAGCTTCAGTAACACGTTTAGAAAGAGCTTTTGAACGTGCTTGATATCCACCAAGCTTCTTCTCGGCCTTAGCAGCTTTGCTAGCCTCTTTTGACATCTCTCCACGATTCTCCTCGAGCAGTGCGGTATAACTGGCTATTCTAGCTTCCGCGGATAGGCTACTGGGCTCTACCCATGTTCTCGAGGCGGCATCGAAAACAAGCTGCTGACGGACACTTGCCCAACACGCACTCTCATCAATCTCTTCGCTGCTCGACAGCGTGACCAGTCCCTCCTTGACTTGGGCTTCATTGGCATCAGGAAAGCCAATTGAGGAGGCAAGTTCAAGATGGATCTGAGCCTTAGCAGCAGTGAGGTCATCATCTGGCGGTATCTGATAAGTTGATGGCGTGCCACCAGGAATATTCGTGCCAGGGAGAGGATGCACTATCGAGTCATGCAGTAGGAGATCCGCAATCTCCGATTTTAGGAGTTTTCTGACCTCCGCCATGTCGTCATCTTCTTCCCCAATGTTTAAGTCTCTCATCAGCTGCTCCACATCGACCCGTGCAGGACGAGGCAGACCACGGGCAACAACCTGTGTTCGTCTTGCCAAGGCTTTTCTCTCCTCCTCTTCACGTATCCGCTTTAAATGTGCATTCCTTTCAGCAGCATCTTCCTCTGACAGCGGACCAGCGGTACCATCCTCTTCCTCTTCATCTTCCGGAACCAAAAGCTCGAAGTTGTTCTCGGGCTTTGGAAGACTCATGAATCCGGCCTTTAAAGCACGCTTGGCGGAGTCGGTATGCAACCGCAGGTCGCGTGGTGTCTCGCCAACTGGCATACCCATAGCGGGATTGATGCTGAGGGTATGATGCATAGGCGTCTGCAGTGGGGTTGCGCCCCACGATGCACCATCTCGCGGGGTTGCAGAAACGTCACCTGGGCTGCCATGCATAGGAGTTGCGAGAGGATTTGGGGTAAAAGCAACTTGATGCCGAGGAGTTGCGCTCTCGAAACCAGTTCCTCCCCCCGGCCCAACATGAAGGGGGGTGTTCTCATCTCCCAACAAAGGTGTCTGGGCCATGGTCATGTTCCGTAAATTGCGTGCTTCCAACATGACATTGTCCTCTATGATATAGCTCAGTCGCTGCGATGGAAGTGAGTACTAAAAAAAACTCATGTTGAGGTGCAGTATGAGGTGTTCGTGCCATCCTTGCGCCCTCCAGGCCCTCATAATCACTCAAGAGCTTCGCAGTTGCCTCGCTTCCGCCACCGACCAATGCCTTGGCATTCTCCCCTGTCTGCCCGATCTTGACAATGCCTTCTAGCTCCGCCTCACCAACCTGCGCGTTCGGCAACACAAGCTTCCGTCGTTGGCCAATGCTCTCCGCCTCTTTCAGCTTCTGTATCTGTGCACCATGAGCAGCAATGAATTTTGTTTGGTGGCCATCATTTTCACCCTTCGCTTCTGCTGCCCAACGTTGTCGCTCCCTTCATTCAGCCTCTTCTTCGTCAGGTTTGCGTTTGTTTTCTAGACGGCGGAGTGATTGGCCGACCGGCGCAGAGGTAATGCGTGCCTGTTCTTCTGACATGTCATAGAAGCCCGCCGCCGGCTTCTTTTCAAAGGGAATGTCAGCATTGTAGTCTATACCCTTATTTTTCGTTTTATGTCACATACTAAAGCATATCACATGAGGAGGGTCATAGCGCAAAGTAAATAGATTGACGCACATGATTCCAGCAGCCTTCAGCTCACACTTTTTTTGTAAGACTGCAAGTCGTCTTGCTTCTTAGAGCTGGCGTTCACAAGCCTTCTGCTTAGCTTTCTTGCCCTGTGTATTTGCGAGATGGGCACGGGCTTCAGATAACATTTCCTTCTCTGTAGGCAGTCAGTAAAAACCCGCCTCCTGGAAAGAAGAAAACCTGCCATCTTCGTCCATGTCAATAGGATCAGGACGTGCAGGCTTAGTTTCAGGGTCGGGGTCAATCTCTCCTGGTCGCAGGCGCCTGATGTCGTCTGCACTCAGTGCTGACTCTCCCCCTGGTCCCGCCAGCCCTAGCTCCTCGGTTTCCTTTGCCTCTGCCTCATCCAGCAACTTCTGATATCGCTCAAGACATTGTGTAGCAGTATGACCCACTGCGGAGGCTATTGTCCGCCATTGCGTGGGCATAATTTTTGCAAGGTGCATCAACTTTTCATCCTTGGTCTAAGTAGTACATTGCAGGTTTCAGTACCAAAACAGGGGTCTGCGACACACACCTTTGACCATTCTGTCTTCTTGATAGATGGATCTAGCCACTCATACCACCGCGCTTTACATTGTTTGGGGGTCTTGCGGACCAGCAACGACGATATACTAGTACGCGCCCTGGTGATGCTCAGTACTAGAGCAAGGCAGCTACTAATTATGAGTGGACAACTCACCATTGATTCTTCCCATACTTCGCTATTGCAGCCTTGAGAACTTTGTTCTCCATGTTCTGGATGAGTGTGTTAGATTCGGATTCCGGTGATACTCAGACCGAAGTTGCAATGTACCTTCTGGCAAACACCTGCGGCCCGGGCCTGAGTCCGGTAGTAACTTACTAATAAATCCCAAATGAAGTCACAGTGCTAACTTGAGTCACGCGTCGTGCCTGCACGCCATCTGTAGGCGCCTGGACTCAAACCCCGTGCCAACAAAATGGTGATTTCAGTTTTAGCAACTTGATGTAACCGCCTGGAGACGTCTTTCTTGAAGAGACCAATGTCTGCAAGCAACCCTCGCCCGTCATCGTATCTGGCCGGCCTGAAATCCTACATTTCCACACAGAACCTTCGCCGCAGTGATATCTGCTCGTCGAGCGCCCAGACCGGGAGAGAGTGGTTATGTTGATGGGCGGACGACGACGCTCAGACGGGGTGGACCAGATGTAACAACCACGAACGAACTTTGACTTTAGTATTTCCTGGCTGCCAGTGGGCATCTCTGTGTCTTGCGAGTGAACATGAGGATGAAACTTGAAGTAAGCAATCCTCTTGCTGCGCATGCTTCACTTGGCTCAAAGGCTTACTTTTTGTAGATGCATTTGACTTACTTGTTTACTATGTCTTGGGTTATGCGACAACACCTAGGCCGCCAGAGTGTCTTACCCGCTCTCAGCGTGCGTTTCTAAGACTGGCTAGAGGTGCGCTCATTTGAAACTATGTTGTATCGCTAAACTGAGGTCATGATCAGGTTAGGCATCTCTACCCAAACTACCGGGTCAACAGTCGCCCCTCAAAGGATCATCTATGATAGATTTTACTCAAATTTGGAGAGGAATGGGTGTGTATTGTTTTACTTTTGGATACCGGCCATATTCATCGTTTCATTTTAGAGGAAATCTCAATTCATCGAGTATACTGTTCGGCGCTGATAATTGGCTTCGGATACTAGTACTACTTGATTGGCGGAATGATCATTCCCCTCATTCCATACTTTTTGTTCCGCAAGTGCATGTAGCGTCCATATACTCTTGTATTGTCCGGCGACAGGCATCATTCTGTTGATATTCGGAGCTGTGAAAGCTCGAGTTACGGGTGCTGGGCAGGGTGTTGGAGGCTGTGGCATATGGGGAGGAGTTCTTCAACTCCACTAGATGAAACATTTTGTTGGATGTTCGTAAGGTTCAACGTTCAACTGCTCAAGACCCTCATAAACTCCTATTTCCCCTTTCAAACAGCTCCAGTTTAGGTCGCATTGTTCTTGCTTGGCACTCGGATGTGATCAGGGTCATCTGCCTGACTTACTAGGCTACATACAGTGTGAGTTTCTTATGCTTGTGGGGCACAAAATCCTCAACCAAGATTAGTCCCGCCAGCGCCAATCTGATTCTCGTTTCGCTTAAATAGTGCGCTACCCTTTCTACTAGCTTCAACCTCGTTTACCATGTCTCCTCCTTCTACTGACTTCGAATCCAAAGGCTGAGTCATGCCAAGCGCAGGCTTTCTAGTGTCGACGCTGCAGGCAAACCTGCTTCCCATGCCTACTCCTCCCTCGCTGTATGTTTGATCAATCATTCCCTTAGTGCATCATGCTGATGCTGATGGCGTGTTATAAGCCTATGTGGGCAGGTATCGCTGGCGCTCTTGTGAATGGCGGACAAGGCTTTGAGATTGTGATTTCCATACATGACTCCGTCTACAACACCGATTTCGCATTGGTCATCATGCCTTACACCTCCAACGATCCCACTAAGTCTGCGTCTGACATTGCAAATCACGTTCTTCAGACCATCAAAAAGTTCTCCCAGGAGCACTTGTGCAAGTTCCTTGGCGCCGGTGTTACCCTTGGTCTCTTGAAAGAGGCGAGTATTCACTTTATCTCGTTTGTTATCGATGCTTACATATTCGCCCAGTGTCCCAATCTCTGCACTCATTTATGGCTTGAGGCTGATATTGTCCTGATCGTCTTTAATATCAAGCCATTCCACACTGATTCACTGACGCGCCCAAACATCAAACATCGCATCTCCTCAACCACCGGTTCATATGTTCCCTCCGGTGCCGAGACCCCCACAGTCTATGTTGATCCTTCCCCACTTTTGGATCAGAACAACCTCCAGTCAGGTGTCGCTACGAAACTTCCAATCCCGCATACTCTTGATGAGCAAGCTGATTCTGCTGCCCGAAAATGTCTAATGTATTACGGCCCCAACAATAACCCTCGCCTCACCATCGGTCCCCATAATCAAGTTACTGTCGATGCGGCCGGCAAGATCCATCTGATAGATGATCTTGACGTCTACAGGAAATTTGTTGGACCAGGTACTTGGAAGTCAACAAACTCACAGACGAATTGCGAGAGAAAAAAGTCAAGATCGGTTTCTTCTCTTCCACACCTCAAGGGGGTGAGTAACTTATCGTCAATTGACCTATATTGGATCATAATGTTGTGGCTTTTCCTGGCGCTTGTAGGTGGAGTAGCTCTGGTGCGTACTTTTCATGGGTCTCAGTATAGTTCTACTCACGCCCATGACAGATGCGACATGCTCTCATCAGGTTCCTTACTGCCCTGGATGTTGACGCTGCATGGTACGTAACATTCCCCGCATCTCCATGATTCTATTTCTCTTGTACCTGGATACTGACGCTTGGCAACGACTGCCAGGTAGTATGTGCCGAACCCATCGCTGAGTGTATTCCGTACTACGAAAAACAACCACAACATCTTGCAAGGTGTTGCTGCCCCAGACCTTCGCCTCACCCAGGAGGCGAAAGATCAATTTGATGCATGGATTCTTAAAAATGGACTTAGATGGACTGCGGAGGGTGGGCCCCTGGCAGCGTTGACATTGCTTTCATTGGTGAGCTCTTGGTCTTCTTCTCAGATATCAACTGCTGATTGTTGTACATTGCAGATGACCCCCAGATGCCTGGTCTTATTCCGCTCATAAAGAAGTCAGACCCGAGCTACCCATCATCTATCGATCGCACATTGAGATCCACAGCGATCTCGTGCATGTGAAAGGACCCCCTCAGGAAGAAGTCTGGAAATACCTTTGGAAAAAAATTCAACTAGCAGATCTCTTCATCAGTCATCCAGTCAGCAAGTTCGTCCCTAGCGATGTTCCTATCGAGAAGCTCGCATTACTGGGTGCCGCCACTGACTCAGGGTAAGCCAAGTTCGAGTTCATTACTTCATCCATTGACGTATTTGTTTGCAAGGCTCGATGGGTTGAACAAGCACCTCCACCCATGGGATAGCCAGTTCTACATGGGTGAATTCGAACGAGCTCAAATGGCCTCAGCAGGACTACGTTGTCCAAATTGCCCGCTTCGACCCAGCAAAGGGTATTCCAAATGTCATCGACTCGTATGCTTGCCTCCGCATCATGCTCAAAGAGTCTGGAAGGGTTACCAAAGCGGAGGTGCCCCAGCTATTGATTTGTGGCCACGGTGCCGTCGATGACCCTGATGCCAGCATCATCTACAACCAAGTCATGAACCTCATCAGCTCGCCTGACTACAAGGTGTACCAGTCGGACATCATTGTGATGAGGTTGCCCCCAAGTGACCAATGTGTGTAATCATTGGTTCAAAGCTGCCCAGGAACTAATTTTCATTTTGCACAGTTCTCGATGCTCTGATGGCTAACACCAAGATTGCCCTTCAGCTTTCTCTTTGTGAGGGCTTTGAGGTCAAAGTTTCTGAAGCCTTGCATGCTGGTATACCTATCGTGGCTTCCCACACTGGTGGTATTCCTCTTCAAATTGTGCATGGCAAGTCGGGCTACCTCACAGAAACTGGCAATAACAATGAGGTTGCCAAATACCTCTTTAACTTGTACACTGACGAGACGTTGTACTCGGAGATGAGTGAGTATGCGCATACACACGTCTCCGATGAAGTTGGCACTGTCGAAAACGCCGCTGCTTGGTTGTACCTCGCTGTCATGTACAATCGCAGGTGTGAAGATTCAGCCTCATGGCGCTTGGCTCAACGACATGCTAAGAGAGGAAACTGGGGAGCCTTACGTTGAGCCAGGCAAGCCTAGACTGCCTCGTGGTGGGCTGAACATCCAAGGTTAACTTGGAGTCCGAGTCAGCACTCTATCCACTTAGTAGTACATCGAGTCCGAGTCGTTAGTAAAGCTTATATTAGTATATCTACTAATGATATTGCTTATCATGATCACGACCGTTCCGAGTTGGAGCCCAGTTGGCTAGTACTACGACTCAGATTACTAATCCATGTGCCAGACTCAAATTGGTGTCCAAGCCTGCCAGTGAGTCCGAGTCTGGCCTCGGCGGGGTACTACAAAGCACGTATGTCGGGTGCTGCCGGCGGAGTTCCATTTTAAAGTTAATCTCTATATAAACACTACTCGGTTGTATTAGTACTTCTTTCTCAACTTTCATGTACGCATGTTGATAAGTTTTAAGGTGTTTGGTTTTGGAAGGCGTTTGATGTCAATTCAGATGATAAGTATACTTGTAGCGAAACTTATACACATTGTAAGCAAATATCGCAGTACTTTATCTCCCCATTATAAGTGTATCTATAGTAGCAAAATGAAACACGCACACCTGCAGCGTGTTAGACAAGATGGTAGGGTGTACTCCTGCTCACGTAGACTCTATATAAATTGATGGAGTTACAGCCATACTTCGGGGATCAACCTACAGGTATTTCAAGATGAAATCATGAGGACGCAATCATGAGCGCACCTCCGAGGATAATACATAGCCGGTACGTAGGCTCTGCCAATAAATTTCTCGACATTTACTAATAATGAAAAGATCAGCCAACCGCCCATTTCGATTAAGGAAAGTCAGCCAACGCATGTATCCGCAGGTTTGGGTTGCGCATTCAGCGACGTACTCCCCCCGACATATGCCTTCAGTTTGCTGGAATATCGCCACCTCAACGTATCGGTCACCTGTCCCGCAAAGGTAACATGGATACCAGAAAGCATGCGCCTCACGATATTGAGCAAATAAAGAAGGGTGGATTTTGCACCCATGTCGAGTGGTTGGCCTGTAGATCAGTTGTATGCATTACTTTAGTTATAATCTCCCATGCAAATAACTAATTTACCATTGAAACATCGCCAGTTCTCTTGTTTGGCCATGGTAATGAAGTATACCATGGCGCACAGTGATAATCCTCACCAAGGTCTCCACCATCTTGGGGTCGGCTTTGAATCCTGTGGGTTCCATGGTTGAACATGCAGAAGAAGATGGGGAAGGCGACCTGGACATTCCAGGTTGTTGTTGAATATACCTGGCTTGCACACCTCAAAGTATATAGCCCTGGGTTTGCGGCCTATCGTCTCAGCGCCATTGTGTTCCTGGCTATGTACGGCAGTGATGGCGCCCATTTCAGATTTGAGCTGTTATAGCTCCGCCATTGCATCTTCCTTTTTTTCGGTTACCTTCGGCCATACACTCCTTGCTCTAGTCGCCCGCCCCACATGTCAGCGTCCAGTTACAGTTGCATTTGCAGATGCACTTTTACGGCGCAGGAATACTTCATTCAACACCAACGCTCATGCTCGATGACAAAAAAGCGTCTTTCGTCGGCAATAACTACTTTCAAAGAGTTTATAAGGACTAGGAAAAAGCTATGCACCTCCAAGGATGTTCCCGTGGTATCTTCGCGTGCCAGCCCCTCACCCACGAGTGAAGTCAATACTTCACCACCAGCGTTGGAACGTCCTGAAGTTCCGGTGTCTGCACCGCGAGGTTCTGAAGAATTGGGTAACCGTAACTATGAAGGAGGTGAGATGGAGGAAGACGAAGACATGAGTCTGGCACGACGCAGACCTAGGCACCAGAACTGACAGTTGCCGAAGAGATTCAGAGATGTGTTACCTCAGCCCCCACCTACTGTTCCCTTCGAAGTGCGCGACCAGCTTCCGGAATCAGTTGGATCTGTTGTTGCTGCTGAAACCCACCCAGCTGAGCCAGCCCGTACTGTGTTTCGTACTCCCCCGAACATCTTCGGACTAATTCACCAATACGCATCCGGTAAACCACCATCTCATGATCCAGAAGAGTATGTCACCAGTGCAGACCTTTCGTTGATTTCTGGCACCCTTCCAATCAATGAATCATTCCAGGAAGATGTTAACTCGAGCAATCATTCTATTTACCATCCCTATCCCAATCATTCCTCTTTCCAGCTCGGTGACTGGTACTGGAACCAGGGGGTGCAAAAGTTGCAGGCGGCTTATACCAAATTGTTGGGGATCGTGGGCGACAGTTCCTTTAATACTGCCGATGTAAGCTCTACGTCCTGGAAGAAAATCAATTCCAAACTGGGTACAAATGAGTATGATGAGGGAGAAGGGGAAGAATGGGAAGACGAAGACGCTGGATGGAAAAGAACACCAGTCTCCATCAAGGTACCTTCATCTCGCTCCACGGGAATACCGGGTCCTTGGGTTTACGATGCAGTACACTTGTATCACCGTTCCCTTGTCGCTGTTTTGCGGGAGAAACTAGCCAATCCCCGAGACGACAAACTATTTCATTACGAGCCGTACAAGTTGCGTTGGGCTCCTCCCCATCTGGATGCTGAGGTCTGCATATATGGAGACTTATACACATCCCCGGCTTTCCACGAAGCTCACACCAAACTGCAAGAATTGCCGGGAGAACCTGGCTGTAATTTACCTCGTGTCGTAGCTGGCCTTATGTTTTGGTCTGACGCAACGCAACTTACTTCATTTGGCAATGTCAAGCTATGGCCCACTTACATGTACTTCGGCAACGAGTCCAAGTACCGCCAGTTGCAAGCCATCACTCAACTTGAGTAACCATGTGGCTTACTTCGAGACGGTATGCCTCTCCGCATTTACCTCTAGTGCAAAGCTAACTCACCCTACCAGCTCCCAGACTCAATCAAAGATTTTACAAATGGGAAAGGTATGACTGCTGAGTGCGCGACGCACTGCCATAGAGAATTCTATCATGAGCAGTGGAGGATCTTACTCGATGACGAGTTTCTCGAGGCGTATGAGCATGGTATTGTTATTTGTTGCTGCGACAGGCATCAAGCGTAGGTTCTACCCAAGAATCTTCACTTACTCCGCAGACTATCCAGAGAAGTACGTAATGTCCTTGTCGCATTGAATGGCATTCAATTTTGTTTCAGGGTACTTATAGCCACGGTTCGAAACCTGGGAGGGTGTCCATGTCCTCATTGCCTCATACCTAAGGATCGGATTCAAAATATGGGTATGCCTCAAGATCGACAACAACGGAAGACTTTGGAGCGCGATGATACGAAAAGACGCATGATGGTAACTACTGCCTGTTCACTCATTTATGACAAGGACTTGTCGGTCAGTAGCACATCGATAGAAAAAATTCTTAAGCCACAGTCCTGGGTGCCTACCTCGGTAAGACTCGCATTTCCATTGGCGACAACAGCTTACCCTATTATAATAGAATGCATTTTCAGACCATCTTGGCCATATGGGTTTCAATATCTTCCATGCGCTCGTGGTAGATCTACTACACGAGTTTGAGATAGGCGTGTGGAAGATGCTTTTCGTGCATTTGCTACTGCATCATCGTTTCACATGATAAGCGTCTTATCCATGAATTGGACCGGAGGTATGGTTCGCCCTGATCAACCTGTGTCATTTAACTGAGCTTCCCTACTAGATACAGGCAGACTCCGACGTTTGGTCATGCTACCATTCGAAAATTTTCGTCCAACTCTTCGGACATGAAACGGATGGCAGCTCACAATTTTGAGGACCTCCTTCAGGTATGACTTCCAAAACCGCCATTGGAGCCGAGTAGAGTTGACGAAATGTACAGTGTTCTATCCCTGTCTTCGATGGTCTCCTTCCGGAACCACACAACACAATTGTCCTCCAGTTGCTGTTTACGATGGCCCATTGGCATGGGTTGGCCAAACTTCGGATGCACTCCAACTTAACTCTTGACATCATGGATCAAGTGACTTCGGCAATCGGCCAACAATTTCGCAATTTCAAAGCTAAAGTTTGCTCCGCTTATGAGACTCATGAACTTCGCCAGGAAGGTGAGGCTCGCACCCGATGAAATGCAAAGAAAGCGGCAAAAAATAAGGGCAAGCAAGCTGCTCGCGTTACCCAGCAAGTGCTGTTAGGATCAGATAATGTTGTCAGAAACGCACAAAAAAAGAAGGTTTTTGATTTCCAGACATACAAATTTCACGCCTTGGGGGATTATGTATCGACAATCCGTCTGTATGGCATGGCCGATTCTTACAGCACCGAACCAGTCAATCCTGCCATTCATATTTGAACTTCGCTAACTGACTTCCCAGGGCGAACTCAAACATCATTCGCCCAAGGCCAGATATCACCGCACCGATCGCAGGCTGTTTGTGAAACAGCTCACTCAGATCGAATGCCGTCAGGCTCGTATTCGTCGTATAGGCGACAGAGTTTTCCATTGCCCTCACCTCGAAATATCAGAGTTAGCGAGAAGTCCAGATGCCCACCACTACATTGGCCTAACACAGAAGCATGCTGTACATATCGGATCCTTCTTGCGTGGTCATGAAGGTGATCCAGCGATTAAGGTTAGTCCAATGATACTTGTGCAAATGACTTCTTACATCCTTTGGCAGAAATTTGTGATCAAACTCAAGACTCATCTCCTCCATCGAGTCACCCAGTCAAGAAATCTCTCATCAGCAGATGAAAACGACATCAGCACAATTATCATTAAGGACGATCGAATGTATCAACACAATGTCGCTAGGTTTAATTACACTACATATGATGTTCGAAGAGCCCAAGATGTCATCAACCCGCGGACCTCCCACTGTAACGTCATGGTCCTCAGCGGTGACAGCGATATAGAGTCCCTAGGTCACAAATTTGTCTATGGCAAGGTACTGGGACTGTACCATGTCAATATAATCGTGATTGGAAGGGGGATGGTTGACTACACTCCAGTCCGAATGGAGTTTTTATGGACTCGCTGGTACGAGCCCATAGATGAGGTTTCTACATGGAATATGTCGACCCTAGATTGTGTTAGATTTCCGCCCATGGCAGACGAACATTCATTTGACTTCCTGGATCCAGCAGATGTTATCAGGGGCTGCCACATTATACCATCTTTCGCCAGCAAAAAGAAGCACTCCGTTGGACCGGGCGTGTCAGCATGTGCGGGGGACAAAGATGATTGGCGGGAGTACTATGTTAATCGGTAAGCAAGGGTTTTACATTACTCGTGTCGAGCTCATCATTTCAGTTTTGTGGACCGTGATATGCTCATACGCTTTCACTTTGGCCTGGGAGTTGGACACATTTACTCCCACCACCACATTTCGCAATCTGAGCCTCCGAATGGAGCTAGCACACAATCAGCTGTCGTCGCACATGATATGGAAGTCCCCATAGACAACCTCGAGGTCGTTGAAGGTGATGAAGAAGATTCTGCATCTGAAGACGATGGGGCTTCAAGTTCGTATGGCCTTGAGGAACAATTCGGCTCCAGCAACGAATCATTATCATCTCAATTTGATGAGATGTACGATAGTGAACTAGAACTTGATTATGAAAACTAATCTTTAGTGTTATCACGTCATGTGATAGTATTCACGTCTCCTGGGCGGGCAATATGATGTAATATGAGGCCCAAATACATCTCGGCATGATGCTGCACATAATAAGACATGATACACTCACCTTTTTGAGCAGAGATGATGGATCAATGTAGCGCTATGATAGCGCACGTAATAGGGCGTCGATGGCGCTGCGATGGTCCATTGGCATTCTAAGCCACATGCCATGCAATTTCAAAATAGGTACGTACATGTGTAACTTGAATACCTACGACTTGCTCTAACACCCTACACAGTCTCCTGTCTATTGTCCATTTCCTACCTAATGTTGAAGATAACATTCTAATTTATATATATATGTAGTTCCCGCTGTTCGTTCTCTTGTAACGTTCTGATGTTTAGCCAATCATTCTGTGATCCTTAAGCGAGGTATAAAATTTTTAACTTCAATTGGGACTATACTTGACGTATTGTCACCCCGTAACTTGTTATGCTCGGTCACGGTAAGCTAAGAAACCCCGTATAAATATGCATTGTATTACTCATATTTTCTTCATCCAACATGTCTGCCCCAGTTCGCATTTCCTCTGAAGATATCGTCGACACCAGGGCGTTGCTTACCTTGGTGGACGACAATCATGATGCGATCATCTATGATCCCGCCTTCAACGTGTTTTTGCCGTTCTTGGTAAGTGGTTTGCGCCTGGCGAAGAGGGAAAATATTACTCACAGTTCCATCAGGGCTCCCCGACCATCAGCATTGAATTTGTTGGTTATGTCCTGCAGTACTCGAACCCAGATCAGCCAATAATCTACCCTCTATATGTAAGTATCTATTTGTCTTGCCAATCTGCTTCGTGTATTCACAATGGGTGTAGTCTCCTCCTTTTGGTCTTGACGCTGTAGGCGATTTTTTTTCATGGGTCCTATACTATTCCTGACCTTCTCCAGCTCAAGCGCCAGCTTTTCCAGATTGCTTATTTGGAAACGCCTATGCTGCATAGCTCTGCATTCGAGCTCGCCGGATTCGAGGTTCCATTGTTTGCTGTGGTGGTAAGTCCAATTGCGTCTGATGATCACACTGGCACTGAATATACATGTAGCTGCAGGCCATGAAAAATACTCTTCCTTGTTTGAATCTGCGGTGGGTGCGGGGCAGGACTGGCATCAACACTGTGCTCCACGGTGTGTATCACTATGTACATCTGTCTTGTACTTTCGGTATCTGTTCTCGTGCTGAACCATCATAGATGGACGTGGCTCGCGCCCATGAACCTGAGGTCAAAGTGAACCTCGTGGAGTACCCTTTCGGGTACTATGTCAGGGTCATTCCTGATGTTGATGCTTCGAATAATGGATCGACAATCCTTCAGACGACATGGATCGGCTCCTCGGTCATGACGCTCAACACTCCTCACACCACTGGGGTCCAGCCCCACCCGAAAAAGGTCTCAGCTGCACACAGTTTACACCAAATTATGGAGATGTGCCCGAACTGGCGCAGGGTTCTTGCACTCTTGCGTATGCTTTTAAGGGTCGCTATATGCTGTGGTCGCAGTGACAATCCATATCTCCTCGTCAATGTGGATTTTTCTGCGCGCCAATTGGAACTCATTCGCAGTGTTTGGCCTGAATGCCTTTTACGTGCAAACGTCACCTCTGAGAGCTTGGAAACAGGTCAGGAGCTCAATTTTCCTGATACCTGCATATCCCGAATTCTTCCTGTATAGTGCTCACCAAAATCACACAAGTTCCGATGTCACACAATGACGTCTTAGTGCTCGTGCATTGTCTTTTGTTCAATTTTTTTTTGGGTCTTATTCCAGCATAGGCTAGTCCATGGATTACCCAGTTCATGTATGACAACCGTCGTGTAGTGGTCAACAGCATGGACGATCCTCGTATATTCGGCCTGGGTAATTTCTTTGGGTTAGCACAAAGGGAGATCATCGTTGACCTGCTAAGGATGTTTCTGCGCCCCTATGCGCATACATTCCCAATCGAGGTTAATTTTCTCCAGGCTTCACTTTCACTGTCCAACACTTATTTTGCCCCGCAGCTTAATGGTTTTGCCGCTGTAGAAACAACAATACAATGAGGAACAAAAGAAGCTCCTGACTGTATCTGTAAAAGTTGTAAGGTCGCGCGCTGCCTAGTCTGCGTTACTTGAGAAGCAAGTGCGTTCGACCCTATAGGGGAAGTGAGTGCAGCAAGGATCTAGAAGTGTGCGCTTAAGCGAAGCGCAGGAGCACGCAAGGTACAAAGGCGCGTATTAGCGCGAAGCGCGGGAAAGTGCGCGCGCGTATGCGGAAATGAGAAACTAAGCTTAAGTAGTGATATAAAGCAAGATAAGAGATATAAGAGTGCAAAATGTAAAGGAATAGCTTTCTACTATATTCTGCTAAGTAGTAAGTGGGTAGTAACTAGTAAGTGAAAAGTAGGAAAAGTAGGTCCCGTGTAGTATGTACTGCTGGCGCTTATATAGCGCGCCTAAGCGCGCTCATGCGGAGCCGAAGCGCTACCGAGTAGGTATGTAAAAATATATATGAGTGAGAAACTAGGATAAAAATAAAGGTGGAACTATGCTAATAAAGGAAATGGAAATATACATACTAGGGAGCTTGGTGGACAGTGGATGGATGCATCTGGATGGCTGGCGCTATAGGGCGCGCAAGCGCGGGAACGCGCGCGCGCGTATACATCGTGAAGCGCGGGAATGGTGCGCGCATGGCGCGCGTTGCGTGGGAAAGCTGCGCCTCATATAGAGATAGCTGCGGGTAGCGCACAGAGTAATGCTATGAGTTCGTGCTGTATACTCCTTGGTGAAAACTACCATATCACGCCATGAGAGGCATGATTCTCTACACCACATTCCTCATACTACAGATTGCCAAAGAGCTTGTTTATCACATGATCTTTAGGACCACGTCGACGAGCCGCATCCGCTTTACCATCGCTGACTTAGAGCCTGCTACATTCAGGACTGTCGCCAATCCTCCAGTGGACACATTGGCCTTGGCGGGATCCAGCGTCAGTGTCTTTTACTCTGAGTCTATGGAAGTTCACACATTGTTTAATCCATTAGTGCTACCAAGCGCTCTTGGCGAGACTCCTGTCCCTCTATGGGGCAAATGAGGCGATGCCAGATTATCCCAGTGTGGCTCAAATATACAGCGAACTTCGTGAGACGGCTATCATGCTTCTCCAGCAGGAGAATGATCCGTCCATCACACGATTCAGAGCTGAATTGAGGCAGTTGTGTGTCATAACGTGAGTCTGCCTTATAATAGGATATAGTTGCCGTACAACTGCTGATGAGATGGTCTAGCGAAACGGATGTATACCGTATTGGGTGCCCAAATGGAGCTCAAGCTGCCGGGCCGACTGCATCGCATGCCAACTGATATCTAAGTCTGTGTCACGGTTCTATATGTAACACCTGCAATGAGCTTGTTTTTGAAATGTACAAGTTTCTGACCATTGGACGGCAAACCTTGTTATGATAGTGTGAAAAATTCAGACAACACCAGATATAATCTTTACTTGGACTGTTTGCCAGATACCAGTGACTCGGCTATCATGACGTCTTCGCGGTTCAACCTGTACATGGTGTGTGCCCACACCTTGAACTCCACCGTAAGCGTTGTGTTCCAGATCACTATAAATACTGACCATGTGCAATAGTACGCCTTCTTTTCACTATCACCACCTCGGGCGTGTGCCCACAACTTGAACTCCACCGTAAGCTTTGTGTTCCGGATCACTATAAATACTGACCATGTGCAATAGTACGCCTTCTTTTCACTATTACCACCTCGATACGGTCATTTAAAAACATCGCTTAGAGCAATAAACTTGTGTTTGGTGTCGTTCGCCATTGTTTTGCAGGCCTGTGACAAGTGCTCCAAGACTGCATCATTGTCGTGAATTTATCTATTGATTATTTTATTGATCTAATCTAACCTATTATATTTTTAGTGTTTGATGGCCATTGCTTTGATGGCCATTGCTATGATGGCCATCGGCCATGGTGCCACTCACTTACATGCCATTTGCCACCTCAGTGACAACACATCGCTCACCGGATATAAGCAAACCTATTGTAAGTTCTGTGAGCATTTATCGCTCGCAAGAACAACACCCTAGCCTCCTCTACAATGTTAACATGCCAAATATCAGTTCCACATGCGAAACTACCTACAAGACTAATTTTCTTGGAATTGAACAGAACGAGACAGCCCTGCTAGCTTGGCTCCATACAGAGGGACGTGACACGGTGAGCCTGTTGGCAAATCTTTGAGTACTTTTCTAATTTCATTTCCAGCTTCCAGACTCCCTCTTGACCACAGCTTCCGTGCTATTTGGATGGGTCGACACTCATGATATTATGGCTCTCCTTGACGTAAGCCTCAGAGAGGTCACGATGCAGAAGCAGCTTCAGCAAGAGGAGGATATGAGTTACGCGGGATTCCGTTCGCAGGGGGCATGTTTAATGGAGGATAGGATGCATCGGGCTCAGATGGAGATTTCATTGTTTAGTAATGCTATTGCAAACTTATGCGAATACCTGGAAACTAGAAATTACCCAAGTGAGCCATGCTATTCAATGTACTATGTCCAATCCTCATGACATGTTATTACTAGTTAGCACACAGAAGCCGTCCACAGTGAACACTATCACATATGTGGAAGCATGCCCAGAGCTCAGCCCAATCAGATTCAATCACTTTGAACCTTCAAAGGTCATTCAAGACAAATGCAATGCATGGCTTCATGCGCCATCCCATTTTCTGAACATCACGCAGGCTGATTCCAATGCAACTGGAATACTCGGTTCCCCGAAAGCAGTAGAAATTTCTCTCATGGTAAGTCCTATTCATGCTATGATGAACTAAGGTTCTGACACTAGGCAGCCTGACGATCAATTTCTTTCCCTCCCTCATTCACTAAAAACTTGGGTTGATAACGTCATGTATCGTGCATACATGAGCGCGACCTTTGCAGAAGCCAAGCCCCTGTATGTTCACGATGATGACAGCTTCAAAGCAAAGGAGCAGAAGACTCCCAAGGTTCTCAAGTCTGACATCTATATTCTGGGCCTAAAGAAGCAACGCGTGCAGTCCGAAGTGGACATGCTTTCCGAAGCCATATCACGCATTTCTGAGTTCGGTGATGACGGTGGGCAGTAGTTTGTACTCCCAGTTTCTCATACTAAGAATCTTTCTGTAGTCACATCTTCTGGAAGCGCCATGACACACGCATCATTTGTGCCTGACAACTACATTGAAGATGGGTTTGACGATTGGGTGTCGACCTCGTATGCCTCTTCCGATGTTGAATTGCTGTGATCCTTTACTCGTACTCGGTTTGTAGCCATTCTCTTTCTACAGTCAAAGTCTTTTGGTATACATTACGGTAATCTGTATCCGTTGACTGTAAGTTGGATTATTTATTCATTTTGTATTCCTTCCTTGTGATAACAACTGCTGTCGGTTGAGCGCGACGTCTTGACAAATTGACGGGATTTAAAGCCTTAAGTTCCTGTAGGTAAGTAAAATACATACTCACCACCTACAACCCATCGTTCGTACTGAAATTTGGCCATCAACACCCTTAACTAGACTACGCAATAGTGAGATCATGTTTGTGTCAATTTTACCACCACCTCAAATTCACTTGGATCTTCCTCCCTGACGGGAGACCATACTTCCGTCCCCCGCTGTCGGTCACGATCCTGGGCCTTTGCCACTCTGCGCCTGTTGTCTCCCAACCTTCCTTGACCTTCCCTTCACTGTATTACGCACATCAGCATAATGAAATATGAAAGGCAAGGTACGTACCGTTTGGTTCGCACTACTCGCATCGGTCTAATACTAATCACTTTCCGTGAAAGCGATCCTTCCATCTTGGCCTCCAGCCTTGCCTTCAACTTGAAGCCGTTGATCCCACATGCCCGCTGATATAATTTGAGCGTGGGACCGAAGATCAATCTAAATATTGAAGCTACTCACAGCGTTTTGTGGTCCCATAGCCGCTTTACTTATTCAATGACTTGTATGTGTACGTTGAAGAGATACTGATTGCGAAGTGTTACGAGTGGAATGTAAATAGCAATCTTCCATGTTACTCATCCCGGTACGCCAATCACATTTGCAGCTACTTCGCATAGTATTTCTTACTGCAGGCCATACCTTTCCTACTTATTATTTTTCTAAACTCATTTTCCTGTATTACTATTCCGCTGCACCACGATCTTAGTCTTTCACCACCACCACCACCACCACCACCACCTACTTTCATACGCACGTATTAATCATGGCGGATGCAAGTAATCTAGCAGCAAAGATGGATGTTGACGAAGCCACGATTTATGAAGGCTTGTACTAGTACTCTCGTCAACTGTAGGTGTTGCTGTCATTTTGTGAGGCTCGCATCACTCACCTTCAATCCTACATAATTTTGCAGTTACTGTGACTCGGAGTCTAATGTACTGATTATCGGGTTGCAAGGTCTGGAGTTGACTCGGAGATCCAGGTAATCTTTTGCCAACAAGCATGGTTCCAACAAGCTCATTCTATTCTCATATCTTCTACAGCAAAGAAACATTTGTCTGGCGGGGGTCAAGTCCGTAACACTGTACGACCCAGAACCACCGCCGGTTACTGTGCAGGATCTCAGTTCACAGGTGCGTGCTTAGGTATCACACTCAGTCCTCAAGACCTGTCATCAGATCATTGTTCACAGTACTTCCGAGCCCTTTGTGAACTCGGAAAGCCATGCGCAGCATCCACCCTACCTCGTCTAGCCGAACCGTGACGCCCTTGTGGCTCCTCTGGTACAATGTGTATAGGTATGGTATTATACGACAACACATTTAGTCCAATACTCACTGTCGTGTTCATAGTCAATTTCATTGGAATTGGCTTTGCGATTGCTGGAAAATGGCCATACATCACGGCGACCACTGCCATGTTCCTAGACGTCCATTATCATCACCTCGTTCTATATATCCCAAGTATATTGACTTCACGCCCTTCGAACCATGTCCCGAGCACCTTTACACTCTACTAACATATCCGAGTCAGTTTCGCAAGACCAAGAGGAACGGGAGTGAGTTGAGGTCCGTGGTAGGCTGTGCGTTTTGATGCTGAGTATTGATAATCATGATGGTTCCGGCATGTGCAAAGCTGGCTGTAAGTCATCCTCGATCTAATCTATTTCACTGTCTGACCTTCTCGCAGTCGCTGGTGATTCAACACGATCCATGGTGTTGTAAGGATACACAACTGACTGCCTTCTTCAGGTGACGATGCTCCTTGTGCCGTCTTTCCATACGATTTCACATTTTATACAACCCTTATGTGCGGGGTATTCACAGAAATTGTACAGCTCTATCGTTGGTCGTCCGACCGCGCCACCAGGGTGTCATGGTTGGTACTATGGGACAGAAAGACTCTTACGTCGGGTATGCTTTACCTCAGTCGTAGTCGTCGTGAACTTACATCTACACAGTGATGAGGCTCAATCCAAGCGTGGTATCTTCACGCTCAAGTACCCCATTGAGCACAGTATCGTCATGAACTGGGATGACATGGAGTAGATCTGGCATCACACATTCTACTACGAGCTTTGTGTAGCCCCGGAGGAGCACCCTGTCTTGCTCACCGAGGCTCCCCTCAACCCTAAAGCTGATCGTGAAAAAAAACGACCCAGTGTTACGAACTAGGATAGTTCTTTAACAACAAAGGCTCGACAGAGCGTTCACGTTGTTGAGGTCTTGTATAGCTCTTCAGATAAGAAGAGGTTCGTGGACTTTAGTCAAAGGAGTGCTTTGACAAAGAGATCGGTTTAGACGTCTTAAGATTGGTGGTCTTAAGTGAAGGAAGTTTTCAGGGTAAAACCTAGTAAGATTGAAGTGACGTTTCTAAGTAAAGTACACGTGCTTAAATAGGAAACTATATGCGCACGGACCAAGGCTACGGTGAGATAATAGTACAAAGGTCAAATACGGAAGTAAGACCAAGAAAGGAAAGCTAAGCTGCTAAGAATGTAAGGCATAATGGCAGATACGTGAGAAGTAAAGAAAGTAGAGCGATTGTAACATTACCCCCTTACTAGGGTTGAAGCCACCGGATTCAATCATCCTGGTTAGCGTAGTAGATAGGATCGTCCGAGTAATCGAGGGCATCCGGACCTTCGTCTGGTCCGGCTTTCATGCGTTCTAACTCATAGAGCGCTTCTTCTTCCCTACATTGTGCGGCATATGCGTCATCCAACTCATTCTCCCAGAGTGCGAGGGTTCGGTAGAATCCATCATCCTTCCAGGTTAAGGAAGTGGGGGATTCCCCAGTGTAGTGCGGGCAGTAGAGCGAAAGATGGCCTGGAGATAATTCTCGACAGACGCGGCAGTAGTATTCGGGACAATGAACTTGCCTATGCCCGAGCGTCTTGCAGTATCTGCAAACGCGATTCTCATCGGGGTTAGAGGAGGTTGCTCGTAAGGGTGATGGACCCGGTTTAGGGCTAAGTGCTTCATCGGCGCTGGTGGCGCGTTTCTTCCCCTTATCAGTACGGGAACGCTGGCCTCGTACTCTCTTTCTGGATGGGGTGGTTCGTCGTATAGGATGGTGGACGGCAACATCTTGTCGCTCTGCCTCCGCGATTAGCTCAGCGGAAGTGGCAGGTTGGGTTCTTCCCAACGCTTGTATCGGTACGATCCCATCCGTAAAGGTATGTGAAGATAATGAGTTCGGGATGACGAGCGGGGGGTGAATATGGAGTGTAGCCAGTGCGTCGGCTAGGTCTTGCACCTCGTAGTGTGAGAGGTACTGATGATTTGGATCAGCAGCGATTTCTTCGCGGGTGGCGGAAAATGCAGTATAAAGATGAGGAGGATGTTCGATGGTTTCTACGGCGGGAGCGGGGACGGGAATTGCTTGGGGATTTTCTTCTCTTAGGGATGCCATTATGGCTTCCGTTGTCTGCGCAAGATTATTGACCGCAGCCAATAGCTCATTAGGAACGTTAGCGGGAAGAGTAGGTACGGCGTCTTGATAAGAGGGAGGAGGGACTCCATCTGTGGTTGCGGGGTTCGTAGGAGAAGGCGGGCGAGCAACTCCTGCGGTCTGTTCTGCGACAATGTGGATGACTGTTCTAATATCATCCTTAACTTCCTCAGGAATAAGACGCAAAGCAAAGTTGCGTATGCGCCTCTGCATATGCATGAGGCTGTGGCGAACTGTGTTGTCTTCGACGAGGCGGCAGACTCGCTCGATGATTTCAGTGGCTCGGATGATGTTGATGAGGAGGTTAATGGAATGGGCGTTTCTTCCGAAGAGAACTCTGGTGAGTTCAATAGCATGTTGGGGACAGAGGAGTGCTGCCTCGATGAGGGTGAGGTCTTCAGCTTGGGTGATGAAGGTCTCGTATCGTTCGTCATTGGACTCGAGGGGGGCGGTATCGAAGGTGGAGTGGTATGGGAGCGTGTAGGTGGATGTGGGGAAGGGCATTCTGTTTGTAGGTTTTGTATTTGGGTAAGAATGATGTCGTCGAGGTACTGAGTAACCTTAAAGCGCGTTTCTGGCTTTATAGGCTCTGAGGGTCTCTTCGGCATTTTCCAGGTTCTTTTCGGGGATCCACTCGTTGCTAGCCGAAGAATACCCTTTCCATGATACGAGATACCGACGGCGGTTTCCGTTTCCTTTATGTGCGAGGATTGCTTCTATTTCATATTCTTCTTCTTCTTCGAGAATATCAGGTGGTGGTTCTAGGAAGTTCGGACCGTGTACGTCATTTTCGCGATAGGAGGATAGTTGCGAAGCGTGGAACGTAGGGTGGATCTTCCATTGCGGCGGTAACTGGAGTGTAAACGTGATAGCGGATAGTACAGCCGTGATAGCGAACGGGCCGTATCTCTTGGGTGCCAGTTTCCGGGATGGGAGCTTTAGTCTCAGATTGGCAGTGGACAGCCATACCTTATCTCCGACTTTCCATGGTTCATACTTCTGTCCGAAGGATCTTTCCGCCATGCGTTGCATAGCAATGTTATGACAGGAGACGGCTTCTTCTCTTATCTTTTGAAGAATTCTGACTCGTTCCTCAGCAGCGGGAACGTCCGATTCCGGAAGTAAGTATGGGAGAGCTTTCGGCTCGTATCCCATCATGATAAAGAAAGGGGATGCATCTTTTGCGGAGTGTCTTCTGTGATTGTGAACAAATTCTGCCATAGGGAGATGTTCCACCCATTCAGAAGGATTGTTCTGGCAATACATTCGAAGATACGTCTCGAGTTCCTGGTTTAACCGTTCGGTCTGTCCGTCGGTTTGTGGGTGGTAGGCAGTGGAGGGGGCTAAAGAATAATCTAGGAGTCGTGCAAGTTCGATCGAGAATCTGGATAAGAACTGTGGTCCACGATCGGAGATTACTTTGTCATGGAGACCAAATCTTTTGAAGACGTGTTTTAAAAATAGTTTCGCCACTCCTTCCGAGGTAATTGTTTTATGGCAAGGAGTAATGATCACCCCCTTACTAAGTCCGTGGTCTACCACGACCATGATACTATCAAAGCCAGATGAAACGGGGAGATCAGTAATGAGATCGACAGAGATCTGGGAAAAGGGGCGAGTAGCCATAGTACTGATAGGGTGCAGGGGTGGAGTTACAGGGTGAGTGTCCACCTTCATTTGTTGGCACGTAGCGCAGCCATCAACGTAATTGCGGATATAAGTGCCCATACTGGGCCACCAGGCTTCCCGCTTGACGAGTTCTTCGGTTTTAAAGCGTCCGGGATGTCCTGCAGAAGGGTGATCATGATGCTTCCGGAGCAACTGCGGTCGATGTGCGGGAGGGATATAAGCTCTATCTTTGTAGAACAGAATATCATCGGCGATACGCCAGTCGCTAAGCGATGATTTCATAGGAGGCAAACATAGGCCATTAAGGGCATCTTGCGCGGCAGAGAAGAGGGGGTCGTCAAGGGGTGCGGTGGAAGCAATAGCTGCTCGTAATTCATCATCGATTAGGCGGATAAACATGGAATCAGGAAGGAGGACGGCATCAGCATTGTCTCCCGATCCGTCGCCATGGTCCGGCCGGCGAGAAAGGGCATCCGGAACTGCTAATTTTGTACCGGGAACGTGGTATAACTTTAAGTCGAAAGAAGTGAGGAGTAGTTGCCATCTGGCCTGTCTTCTAGATAGGCGTTCTGCTTTTGCGAAATAGAGGAGGTTCATATGATCAGTAAACACAATAACTGGTTGTGGATGTCCTTCGAGGTAGTGTCGCCAATGGGTGAGGGCGCGGATAATAGCCAACAGCTCGCGATCATGAATGGGGTAATTCCTTTCAGCAGGACTGAACGACTGTGATAGGTATGCACACGGGTGATAGACGCCATTAGTGTCAGTCTGCAGCAATACTCCTCCCGATGCGACAAGAGAAGCATCCGTAGCGATGGCGAATTGATGGTGGGGATCAGGGTTCTGAAGAACAGGGTGTGAAGTGAAGCATTCTTTTAGCTTCTCGAACGTTTGCTGGCACAGGGGCGTCCAAGAGAATGAGACATCCTTCTTTGTTAGGTCGATAAGGGGTCGAGCTATATCCGAGTAGTGGGAAATGAAGGTTCGGTAGAAGTTGCAAAAGCCCAAAAAAGATCGAACATCTTTTACTGTTTCAGGGGTGGGCCAGTCCTTGATGCCTGCCGTTTTCCCTTTATCCATTTCTACGCTTCCTGGTTTGATAATCATTCCAAGGTATTCCACTTCTTCCGCATCGAACGTGCATTTCTCCGGTTTAACAAATAATTTTTCTTTTCGAAGTTTGTCTAGAATGATGCAGGTTCGTTGTTGGTGTTCAGTGGTTGTTTCGGAGAAAATGAGCATATCGTCCATGTAGATGACGAGCCATCCTTCGTTGAGTTCAGCTCTGAACGTATCGTTCATATACGCTTGGAAAGTGGCGGGGGAATTGCATAATCCGAAGAACATGACCGTGGGTTCAAACAGTCCTTCTTCCGTGATGAACGCGGCTTTCCACCTGTCATCCGGATGAATCTGAATGTTATTGTATCCGGATCGAATATCGATTTTTGTGAATATCTTTGCGCCATGTAACCGTTCAACCAAAGATGATGGGAGTGGCAGGGGGTACGCGTTTTTGATAGTCTGGTCATTCAAGAAGCGGTAGTCCTGGCATGGTCTAAGTTCTCCGCTTTTCTTTCCTACAAAAAAGAATCCGCTTGCTTGAGGGGATTTAGATTTCGTGATGAACCCCTTGGCAAGGTTTTCTTTGATAAAACTTTTTACTGCGCTTCGTTCGTTGTAGGAAAGGGGGTAAATTTTGGACGTTTTGGGAATAAATCCGGGCTTCGTTTCGATACGATGGTCGATACCGGGTCTTTTGGGGGGTAGTTCGTTCAAGCCGTTTTTTGCGAATACGTCAGAGAAGTCATGGAGATACTTCGGTACCAATTCTTCAAAAGTTTTTTTCTTCTTCTCCTTTTCTTCGGAGGCGAACTCCTGTGCTTTGTTACTAAACTTGGAAGTTTCTTCGATTTGTCGGAGATATTCTCCTTCGTCCGTAAGTTCGGTTAGAGATGATGGTGACGTACTCCAAGCGTCTTCTTTTGTATCGAACTTCTTAGTGAAGAAGGTTTTCTGTGGTCGAGAGGTTTGCTTGACATATTTTTTGATTTCGGCAGATTTTTCTGTTGCTGGAAGGGATACCGTTTGTTTGGTCCAGTCTATAGCGGGGTTCATGGCTCGAAGCCAGGGGATCCCTAGTAGGATCTGGTCCTTGTCTCCTAACTTGGTAATGTTGAATTTTCCTATCATCATCCTTTGGTCGATTTGGACGATTAGCGTGCAGTACCGTTCTACTGGTCCACTGCTGAAGTAGCTTCCATCGGCGGTTTTAATGTAAAAGGGTTTTCGAGTTTCTTGGTTCCGATGTTATGTTTTTTCACGAAGTCCTCGGAGATATAGGTTCCCGATGCTCCGGAGTCAATTACTGCGGTGGTTTCGACATTTTTCTGACGCGTTCGGGATACGAGGGTTATGGGGACACGAAGTTCTTTTTTTTCACCAACTGTTCGTATTAGGCGTACAGGTTTTGCCGGAGATGCTATTGTCGATATAGGTCTCCTGTTTAAAAATCCTCATCAATTCTTCTAGCTTCTTCTTCTTCCTCTACCTTCCTCACTGCTGGGTAGGGGGCTTTCTTCTTCTGCGGGCATTCCCGTGCCCGATGTCCGATCTGATGACAGTTGAAACATTTTCCTGTCCTCATGTATTCTTGCTTGGCTTCGTCGGTGATCCGATCAATAACCATGGCATCCCTATCTCTGGCTGGGATATATCTTTGATCTCCGCGACCGTTCTTTTTCTGGATTTGTCGGGAAGGAAACCTGCTTCTCCGAGCTAGCAATCTTGCGTAGCAATTATCCAGATCGACTACCGCAGCGATGTAGTCATCGAGGTTTTTGGGTACCCCTCCCGCGTTGAACATTTTGGTTAGAAGTCCTCCGTTGAGGCCGTTTTCGAAATGATAGATCATCATATGTTCTTCTTTGATCTTTGCTTGAGCAAGCAACCTTTTGAAGTCTGCAATGTACGTCTGCAGGCCTTCTGGGCCTTGTTTTAATTCCAGGAGTCGTGCCAATGCGGTCCCGGATGGGTCAATCGGTCCGAAGGCTTTGTCAAAGCTTTCGTTAAACTCTTTCAAGGTTCCATAGCCCTTTTTTTGTCCAGTTGAGTCGATGAATTGGGCTTCTGCGAGGAATTCTTCTTTCCATGACCTAGCATTTCCTTCATTCATGAACGAGGAGATGAAGATCACTTTCTGAGTGTCGGTTTTATAGATTTCCGAGTTGATATCAATGTAAGCATTGCATGAGAGCATGAATGACTTGGACTTGTCTCTGTCGCCATCAAATGTAGGAGGATGGTTGATCTTGAATTCTGTTGTCTTGGATGAGGCCGACATGTTCAATGATGGTACAGGAGTACCGAGGTTCAGGGCTTGGAAGGTAGGGGTGAGTGAAGTCAGTTTGTCGCCTTTTTCTTCGCCTGCACTAGCTGTCTTGCTCAGTCAGGATCTTTCTGTTCTGGTTTCGAGGTTTCTTTGACACGTATGGATATAGGTGTCCTTCTGGTACTTCAATCTTTTGTTACGAACTAGGATAGTTCTTTAACAACAAAGGCTCGACAGAGCGTTCACGTTGTTGAGGTCTTGTATAGCTCTTCAGATAAGAAGAGGTTCGTGGACTTTAGTCAAAGGAGTGCTTTGACAAAGAGATCGGTTTAGACGTCTTAAGATTGGTGGTCTTAAGTGAAGGAAGTTTTCAGGGTAAAACCTAGTAAGATTGAAGTGACGTTTCTAAGTAAAGTACACGTGCTTAAATAGGAAACTATATGCGCACGGACCAAGGCTACGGTGAGATAATAGTACAAAGGTCAAATACGGAAGTAAGACCAAGAAAGGAAAGCTAAGCTGCTAAGAATGTAAGGCATAATGGCAGATACGTGAGAAGTAAAGAAAGTAGAGCGATTGTAACACCCAGATCATGTTCAAGACATTCAAAGCACCTGCATTCTATGTCTCAATTCAGTCTGTCTTGTCACTGTACGCTTCCGGTCATACCACTGGTATTGTCATGGACTCTGGTGATGGTGTCATCCACACTGTGCCTATTTACGAAGGGTTCTCTCTTCCACACGCCATTCTCCGTCTCGATCTTGCTGGTCGTGATCTCACTGACTGTCTCATCAAGAACTTAACCGAGCGTGGTTACTCTTTCACGACGACTGCCGAATGTGAAATTGTCTGTGATATCAAGGAGAAGCTGTGCTACGTCACCCTTGACTTTGAGCACTGGGGGATGCAAACTGCCGCACAGTCACTGTCAGCCCTCGAGAAAAGCTACGAACTTCCTGACAGTGGGCACATCATCACGATTGGTAACGAGCGGTAAGATGATGCCCTGTCGATCATTGGCCATTACATCTCATATAATCGTGAAAGATTCCGTGCACGAAGCTCTATTCCAGCCTTCATTCCTTGGCCTGGACTCAGCTGCAGGTATCCATGAAACGACATAAGCAAATATATCAATTACCAGGAACGTTGTCTGATTTTTTCCCTGTCTAGGTACAACTCGATCTTCAAGTGCGATCTTGATGTCCGTCGTGACTTACTATATGGTAACGTCGTCTTGTCGGGTGGTACTACCATGTTCTCTGGCATCGCCGATTGTATGCAGAAGGAATTGACCTCGCTCTCGCCGTCAAGCATGAAGGTTAGTACCAGACTTCAGGATATGAGACATAACCTCATTCATCATCGTTTTAGGTCAAGATCGTCGCTCCTCCTGAACGGAAATACTCTGTCTGGATCCGGCTTCCCTCTCCACTTTCTGGCAGAATCTGTGGTGTTCAAAGCAGGAGCCTTACGACGAGTCCGGTCCTGGTATTGTCCATTGCAGTGCGTATTTCTCGACACATTACTACCTCTCAATCTCACTCAATTCTACTACAGAGTGCTTCTAAATGTGATCAAAGAGGCAGTGAAAAAAAATCGTGTCTGAGTCTCCGCTGTACTCAAGAATGATATTTACGACTAGAGTCGGACGCACTCACATAAGTTAAGCCTGAATGTTACAGATTACTTTTACTCTTTTCAATAGTTTTACGACACATTTTCTTGAATGTCTACGCACTGTCACTGCGGCCAGGCTCACCTATGTACTACAGTAGCGCGTTTCGGACTCAACAACTTGCAGTAACATAAATAATTACGTAACAGGTACCAACTCCCACACTGGAAAACATGATGGCTTTCGGCGTCCGAGTCTGCCATGACGAAGCTGCCAGATCACCCACTCTTCTCCCACCCCCGTCTTTCATACTCCTCCGAGTCTGACTGCACCTACCACTAAGCACATCCTCGATCCTCATTTTCCCTCATCACACCAGCATGTTTGATGACTTAAAGGTGAGTCAATGCATATCACCTTCGTACTCTTTTCATGATCCTTATGCTCGACTCGGATCTACAGTCACCAGCACAAAAGATATGAATGTCCCCTTCCGGTACATTACGAGCATAAGCTCTCAGTCTCCCGTAAATATACATGTACCTCTCCCTCCTCATTTTTGCGGAACGGTTTTCCCTCCATCAGGACACACTCCTTCCCTTCCAGACCAACCTTGCTGTTTCCCTCTTCCCCAGCCATGCCTCCAGCACACACTACATCCACGTTATCCCGCCCTTCCTGCACCTGGGTCTCGGAGTTCCTGTCATCTGCCCGATCGAGACAATCCACAGGATCTTCTATGCCAGTTTGGTGAATACAACACCTAGCAACATACCTCAGCCAACGTACATGCATGTAGCGCATCAGACGTCTGGCATCACGCACAGCATCCCTATTGCCTCTCACCCTTACATTCCACCACCCGAAGTTCACTCTGTGATCTATGGGATTGAAAAGAATGTCGATCAAAACTAACTTACTGGCCGTTTCACAGACTTTTCTTGCTTTGGCAGCATTGGCCACCACGAATGCGCCCATCGTTGACTTGGGTTATGCTCAGTACCAAGGTTCGGTGGATACAACTACGAATACCACCAGCTTCCTTGGAATACGGTATGCAGCTCCCCCGCTTGGTGCGTCCAGTTTTGTGTAGTGTAGTATGTGATGTAGACTGACACCAAACATGTAGATAACTTGAGATGGGCAGCTCCGCAGCCTCCACCGACTGTTCCAGGCGTTCAACAAGCTACCACGCAACCAAATGAATGTCATCAAGGACCCCTGGGCAATGCCTCGACAAATCCTTTCGAAAGCATCTCTTTAAGCAAGAGGGATGTCAGTCAGTCAGAAGATTGCTTGTTTTTAAGGTAAGCCTTATGTGAGAATGATCACTCTTTGGTCATTCTATTTAATCGGGCAGGCGAGTAGTAGTCATACGGGTGGTGAAGCGAGTTTAGCACACCATTTGCAAAGGAGAAACAAGGTCAAGCCGACTCGAAGAAAGCAAAGTTCTATCAGCCGGAGGGTGACCACCTTACCCTTCTGACGGTATACAATGGCCGGTAAGGTGCAAACTTCTCAAATACTTGGTGCTACGAGAACTTCATCCAGGCAAGAAGCATGCAGCGTGCACAGGATATCCGCAAGCAGCCAGTCATCATGGACAGGCGCGTGTAAATTCTCGAAGAGTCCGAGTCAATCTCGTAATTCTAACTATCTTTTCAGATACAAGCATGATATTCTATCGGCAGGAAATGATTACAACCGTGTGTGGAAGGTGATATGCTCTGGTTTCTTTTGGAATGCAGCTAAAAAGGATCTTCAAGAAGGTTACAAGACACTTGTTATATCCATCCCTCTTCTACTCTCTTCAACCACGCGCCTGAATGGCTAATCTATAACGAGTTGGTGTTGACCACTCATGAATACTGTCACAGCGTCACTACTATAGAGCCAAAATGGCTCATGGAGGTTGCACCTCAGGTTTTCAAAGTCGCCGACGCCAACAAGATCAGTAAGCGGAAGAGGCAGGAAAAGATCGAACCATCATACAACAAGGTACTATGCATCGCATCCGTATGAGACATAATGGCGACTATTGAAGGTCAAACGAAGTGCACGCTTGGTATGTAGTCACCCAAATGCTGCCTCGATTATGTGCTAATCCTGGCAATAGAGTCAAACATTTGGTTAAAATCTTGCATAATTGTTGGACTATTTTACTATTTATCTGTAGCTGTAAAGTATTATGCTGTTGTCGATCAGCCTGCTGCAATTTGCTGCCCGGTGTCCATAGTAGATCACTGAAAGATAACTGATGGTGGCGGCATGATGCTGATACTGCTATTGCTTGCTAAGGCATCAGACCTCGCGCAATAACTCAGGTAGTCCAATGACTTTCTATTCCTCTAACATATCATTTGTAATTGTGATACATATTGTCAATATTTTTTCATTAGGCAAAGCTAGCTGAATCTTAACCATATTTGAGTCAAAAGCCTGATGACAGATGCAGGAGAGTAGTTGGTAACAATTACTGTAGTGCTAGTGTTGAGGTGCCAGTGAGTGTTGGAGTCATATATTCTGTCATATATTTGTTGCATCCTTGCAAGATGCCTGTCACAATGAGGTGTCCGAGGCAAAGTCATATATTCTGTCATATATTTGTTGCATCCTTGCAAGATGCTCGTCACAATGAGGTGTCCGAGGCAAAGTCATATATTCTGTCACATATTTGTTGCATCCTTGCAAGATGCCCGTCACAATGAGGGGTCCGAGGCAAAGTCATATATTATGTCATATATTTGTTGCATCCTTGCAAGATGCTCGTCAAAATGAGGTGTCCAAGGCAAAGTCATATATTCTGTCACATATTTGTTGCATCCTTGCAAGATGCTCGTCACAATGAGGGGTCCAAGGCAAAGTCATATATTTTGTCATATATTTGTTGCATCCTTGCAAGATGCCCGTCACAATGAGGTGTCCGAGGCAAAGTCATATATTCTGTCATATATTTGTTGCATCCTTGCAAGATGCTCGTCACAATGAGGGGTCCGAGGCAAAGTCATATATTTTGTCATCTATGTGTAACACCATGATAAAAATATCTAAGATCAAATCAGGATGTGTTTTAATTGCAAATTTTTACAAGTCTACTGGAAATGTGATGATCTACAGCTATTCAGCTGCAGTCCTTGGACAGGCCAGTATCATAGTGTTAGCTACTTTCAAGACATAATCAAGGTGATATTTCTCTGGCATAGTCATATCATATTTCATCTATGTGTGATGCCATGACAAAAATATCTAAAGTTAAAAAATAATGTGTAATATTGTTTGTTGATTGTCAATTCTGTCTGGTCATATCAATTCAGGGTTAATTTCCTGATGCTGGTTGCAGCAGAGTAGCCCGTAACGGCTGTGCAGGACATCCTCCAATGAAGATGCAAAAAGAATATCCTCCCGAATGCATCCATGATAGACGATTGTCCTTCCTATCTCATTATGGTTGTGTGGAAGAATAGGGGGTGAGTTGAGTTGAGGATGAGATATGGGAGGAATTATTTTGTTGCTTGTCAAATTGTTGGTGTCATCGACGAGGTCGTCATTGGTGGCTTCGGGCTCGCTGTCAAAGAGGGAACACACGTCCCATTGATTAGACAGTTCGTCGTATATGAGCTGCCCGCGGGGTCGCGTCTCGAACTCAATGCGTGCATCTTCAAAATCGATCTCTCCTCTAAACCTTCCCTTCTTTGATCGATACCACAAGAAGAACCAAGTGCCATCTGGTCTGGTTGGGAGGATAAAATTTGAAGCCTGTTCGAGGCGTCTGCGAACACGTTCCTTGATACTCTCAGACACATGCGATTGGAAGTCCAACTGTTTCTGCTTGCGCGATTCCACAAATGCGTCCCATCTATGAAGACTGTCGGGGTTCACGGCAGAAGAATCGGAACTAGTTTCTTCTGAAATGGTCTTGCTGATGACACTCCCGACCTTGATCTTTTCATCCTCGCGAGGCACAGCGGTCTTAAAGTTATCCGCTTTGAAAGTCTTTGGATCATAAGCGCCCCTATATCTTCCTACTTTGACCCAAACCGGAGCTCGTATGTCATTCAGATAAGGAAATATATGTCCCCATTCCGACTTGCGTGGGTCCAGAACAACTCCAACACAGCGACCGAGTATCTCTGGCTGCAATGCACTTATGATATCGCAAACGTGGGACTCGCTCAAGCCCGATTCAACAAGCATTTGCGAAGGAGAAGGGGGCTTTTGTCACGCAAATGAATTGGCTTTATCGTATCTCCACAAAACTTGTCCGTAAAACAAGTTTGACAATCCAAGAAGACCATGAAACGCCAGTCTGGATCTCTTGGCACAACGTAAAGCATGGCCATGAGTCTTGTGGTCGCGGAGATAACCGTAAGAGGAGGGGAGTGGTAATGTGTGGAATTCCATGGGGAGTAGGGCATCGGTGCTGAAAACAGAGGCAGCGTGGTAAAGGGTGTTCTCAAGCCAATGCCAGCTAGTCTTTTGTTCCTTTGAAAGGGCATGTGTCATTCTGCGACTGACTATGTTGATTGTGGTGAGATGTTGGAGGAGTGGACCAGAATACTTGAGTTCCATATCGTCTGGCGTAGATGCAATCTGGATATATTGACACAAGTCGAATCTCAACTCGAAAATTTCTTCAGGGTCTGGATCTTCGTGCTTAAAGTCCAGTTTGACCTCTGAGATAGATGGGCATGCTGTCTGCGTGGCCGAGAATAAGACAGAATCAGCTGCCTTGACATAGAAAAAGTTACGGGAGAAATTGGATGATCTGATTGATGATAAGCCATTATAAAGGGTACAGTGAGATGCATTTCTTATGAGGACGACACGGCATGGTTATTGTTTGAGAAAGATGGTGCCTCAGATGATCGTTGGGCACAAGATAAAGCCTGATTTGAATCACAAACAGGATTGTCAGGAAGCTGTGGTTTTGATGGCAGCATTGTGAGTCGACCCTAGACGTCCGATAGGATGACTAGCTAGATAACTAGCTAGATGTCCACATGTATGAAGGTCAGATACTAGCGTTCTGATGGAACTGCAGAAAAAGGTCAAACGCAAGTGTTCGATAAGATGGCTGGATAGAAGTACACAGTCAGAAATGCCTGAAAGGATGCAACTTGTGCCAGTCAAACTGTCAAACGCTAGCGTTCGACAGAATTACTGGCTTGTGAGGAAGAGGTGCAAGAAGTATGCAAGTCAAATGCAAGTGTTCGACGATGCATTTTGTAATAAAATGTGGATCAGAAAAGCCACAAGAGCTTGCCACGATTTGCAAACATTGATACTAGATTTGGAAATTTAGCAGCTGTTTGCATAAGCAACTGGATTTAGAAATCTCTTCTGTGACTTCTGAGACGGTGACATCTGAGACAGCCGTTTGCATAAGCAACTTGATTTGGAAATCTCTTCTGTGACTTCTGAGACGGCCGTTTGCATAAGCAACTTGATTTGGAAATCTCTTCTGTGACTTCTGAGACGACCGTTTGGAACTCGTGATTTGTCACCTCTGAGATCTGAGACTTCTGAGACTTGCCACTTTCCAAATGGCTTATTGATCGTCATGTGGGAAATTGCTAGTATGCATAGGAAAGAACTTCTTATTTGTATGATACACAAAGATACTGACTAACTGAGTAAAGCTTCATTAAACCGTCAATACTAGTCACCAAACCCAGGGAATTACAGTGATCCATTGGCGTAATTTAATTGTTGTGAGGGGGTTTGATTATGAGGGAGTAGATAAAAATGGCGAAGCTAAAACTAAGCGGCACAGTGCTTCTGGAATGCCTCAAGTATCCTGGTTCCTCTGCAATGGA